TGATGATAATGATAATGATGCAGGGGCTTGATCCCAGGACCCTGGGATCATGACCTGAGCCAAATGCAGAGGCTTTAACCCACTAAGCCACCCAGGCGCCCTGAGAATTCTTTATATATCATAGACATAGGTCTTTTGTTGGACATATGGTTTGCATGTCTTTTCTACCACTCTGCAGCTCAACGTTTCATCCACTTATCAGAGTCCTCCACAGAGCAAACATTTTTAATTTTGATGAGATCCAATTTATCAACTTTTCCTTTAAAGGACTATACTTTTGGCGACCAGCTTAAGAACTCTTTGCCTAACTCTAGACCCTGAAGATTTTTTCCTGTTTTCTTCTAAAAGTTTTATTATTTTATGTTTCATATTTAAGTCCGTTATCTATTTGGAGTTAATTTTGGTATAAGATGTTGAAATTCAGGTCAAGATTTTTTTTTTTTTTTTTTTTTTTTTTGGCTTATGGATGTTCACTTACTACAGGACCGTTTGTTGAAAAACTATATACTTCCTCTACTGGATTACTTCTGTATTGTTATCAAAATCAGCTGGACATACTTATTGGGGGGGGCTTTTCTATTCTGTTCTACTGACGATGTTTCTCTCTCTCTTCCAACAGCACAGTCCTGATTTTACTAGAGCTACAATATTAAGACTTGAAATCAGGTAGATAGATTCCTATGACTTTAGTCTTCTTTTTCATAATTGTTTTTCCTAAGTGTTTTGGCTATCTAGTTCCTTTGTCTTGCCATATACATTTTAGAATAATCTTTAATGTACCTACTAAAAATTTTGCTGAAATTTTTACAGGAATCACATTAAACAAATAAGTAAATCTGGAAATGGCTGTCTTTACTACGTCAAGTTTTCAACCAATCCATGAACACGGTCTCTCCATTTATTTAAGTCTTCTTTGATTTTTTTCATCAATGTGCTATAATTCTCAGAATACTGATCCTGTATATATTTTGTTAGATTTAGGCCTAAGTATGTACAAATTTTGTTAGATTTATGTTCACTTCATTTTCTTTGAAGCAACTGGAAATAGCATTGTATTTTAAATTTCGGTTTCTCTCTGTTTGTTCTTAATATTAGAAATGTGATTAATTTTTTTTAAAGATTTTATTTATTTATTTGACAGAGAGAGATCACAAGTAGACAGAGAGGCAGGCAGAGAGAGAGGGAGGGAAGCAGGCTCCCTGCTGAGCAGAGAGCCTGATGCGGGACTCGATCCCAGGACCCTGAGATCATGACCTGAGCCGAAGGCAGCTGCTTAACCCACTGAGCCACTCAGGCGCCCACGTGATTGATTTTTATGTGTGCTCTTAAATTCTGCAGTTTTGCTGATCTTGTTTTTGTATATTCTTTGGGATTGTCTACATAGACAATTATGGCACCTATTAATAGCAAGAATTTTATTTCTTCCTTTCCAATATGTATGTCTTTTATTTCACACTACAGTTTTAACAAAAGGCTTTAAAGCCAATCTTTTGCTCATTCTTTTGCGTCGTCTCTTTTTTACTTTTTTAAAGTTTCTGATACTACTGGATTCTGTTAAGACCACAAACAAACAAACAAAACCTTGGAGCAGCGGCCCCACAGTTATTCTCTGAACAATAGGAAATAATTTTGGCTAGGTAAAAACACCAATATTTAAACTCAGACTGGTTTTATTTAATCAAAGAATTATACTTCCTGACAAGGACTTAGGTATAATATTAGGTAAAAACGTAAGTCATAAATTGAAATTAAGGACATGGCTGGTAAAAACTCTTTAAACTGACCAGCTCGTCAGTTATAAAAACAAGCACTATGAAGATTAAGTTAAGCAGGCTTTATATTTCCTATAGCCCCCAGTTCCAGACTACATCTGTTTTCTTTGATACACAAAACCAGAGTTAAAATAGCTCCATTTATCACAGCATGATTGTAGGCAGACAAATCAGCCTGTCTGTTTCCAGATAGTGAAAGCAACCGTTATTAATCACAATTACAGGCCAAACCCTCTAAGAGAAATTGCATCAATATTCTCCCAACCACCAGCCCTTCTACTCTTGAACTCAAAAATGGTACTGAGAATGTCGTGACACTGCCTGAAGGTCAGTAAATAAAGATGACACTATGAGGTCAACTTGAGTTTTAAGTTCAGGATGCAAATTAAGGAAAATCTTTTCTTCACATAAAAAGAAGTGATCTCTCAAAAGCTCTGTCATTAGTTAAGTTTAGCAGGACAATTAAACCTATTCAATTTCAAATTTATCTAGAAAGGTTTCTGTTTTATGAAACTATACTGAACAGCACAGGATATTTGACATTTATAAATTAGATGATTAACTTTAAGCAGGAGGCATTTATGAGAGTAGACATTTTTGTATAGCATATTTGTAGCCAAGAGTGTGAAGGAAATTTCTTTCATACAGATTATAAGAGAACTTCCTATAGAATGAAACCAATTGCAGGTTACAACTGAAAATATGTTAGGGCAATTGTTGTATCATATACCTTAAATGTATGAATGTATCCCTTTCATATAAACTGTAATCCTTTCTTCAATGGTTAAGAATATAAACCAGAGTTTCCATTTGGAGTTGTCTATTGCTATTTTTTTAAGCCACTGTTTTTTTTTTTTAAGCGCCTACTATATGCATGGCACCTTAGATGCTTTACATATCACATGTAATTCTTATAATAATTTTATTTTAAATTATTATTTTAAATGTATTTATATACAAGGTAGGTACTATTGGTTCTATTTCAGAAGAGAACACCAGCTCAGAGAAGTTATTTCCTTAAGGTCACCAGCTAGTTAAGTGCAAGAACCAGGAGTCAAATACAGATTTGATTCCAATGTCTATGTTCTTTTGCCTTGTTTATAAGCCTCTCAACCTTTTATTTGCTTTAAGACAAAGTTTGAATGGAACCTTATGTACATAATGCATCTATGGAAGAATACTAAAATGGCTGCTGTTATACAGCTGTAGAGAAATGCACGTTATTTTACCCTACTTTTCTACTGAATAACTGGCTCTAATATATTTTCTCAGAAATATTATGGAATGAGGTGCCTGGGTGGCTCAGTGGGTCAAGCCTCTGCCTTCGGCTCAGGTCATGATCTCAGGGTCCTGGGATCGAGCCCCCGCATCAGGCTCTCTGCTCAGTAGGGAGCCTGCTTCCCCCTCTCTCTTTGCCTGCCTCTCTGCCTACTTGTGATCTCTCTCTGTCAAATAAAGAAATAAAATCTTAAAAAAAAAAAAAAGAAATATTATGGAATAAACTGAGCCTTTTCATCATTAAACATGACCCCATATTCAAACAAGGCCTGACCATTAAATATTTTAAGATAAATTAGCAATGAGACTATAGCCATTTTAATATGAATGATTCAAAGCTATTTGTGAATTTGCAAAACTGCTCCAAATTCTGTGAGCACTTGGGCACTTAGCCACTCACTTAACATATTCATTGAGCATCTACTATACAGAAGAGCCAGTAGTCACTGTTCTAGGGACTGGAAACACAGTGATGAACAAGATAAAGTCAGTAACCTCACTGAACTTATTCAAATGAGGAACACTGAAACTAAACAAAAGAACAGGGAGGAGGATACCCCTAAGAAGCTGACATTTTTATCAGAGAACTAAATGATGGGAAAGTGAGCCATGAAAATATCTGGGGGAAAAACAAGAGAATGGAAGAACATTAGAAAAAAAAAGAAACAGAAAAAGCCTTGCAGGCTTTTAAGATTTAAGGAAATCTGGGGATTTCCCCTTTGCAGGGGAAAGGGGGTTGGTATGTCTGAAGAATAGCAAAAAAGCCAATGTTGCTAGAGTAAAAAAGTAGTAAGAGATGTGGACGTAGAGATAGAAACATTTATATCCTTGAAGGTCCTGATAAGGAGTTTGGATTTTATTTTTAGTGTGAGGAGAAAGCACTGAATTTTGGGAAAAGATTACTCTGGCAGCAACAGAAATGACAGTAAGGGATCAAGAGTGGCAGTAGACAGACCAGCTAACATGCTACTGCAGAAGTCTCAGCAGGAAGAAAGAGTGATTTGAACTAGAATGCCCTGGTGGTGATGCTTTCTGGTAGCTGAGAATCATCAGCATATGTTTAAGTCCTGGGACTGAGGTAATCACCATCAGAGTGAACACAGAAGAACAAACTGGCTCAGGGAAGAGTCCTGGAGGACACTCCAATACTTAAAAGTTTAGAAGAGGGCAAGCTGGCAAAGGGAAAGCATCTTCATTTTACCAGCACACATGAAATATACTTTGTATTTAGGCTTACCTAGTTTCTTTTTCTAAGCACTAGAGGAAACCAGATAGTTTAGAGTTTTTTCTATGCAGCTGTAATTTTTGAGCACACAGAAAACAAAAATATGAGAAATACAATAAAAATAAGAATTCTATTTAAATGAGGCAGAATCTTAATAAATTAATACATAATCAAACCTAGCTACATTCAAGTTCAAGTCAATAATTTCTAAAAATAAATCATTTCATCAAACTTGGGAATCTTTAAACAAATAAAGACCTATGGGCCTAGAACCTGAAAATGCAAATAAATTACTGAAGTTTTATTGTAACATGATCTGATCTATATTTATTTTGTTACCTGATACTGACAACATGTTAAAAACCTACAGTCAGGAAGTAAAAAAACAATCTGAAAGTCAAACTGATTTACATGTAAGAGCTCAGAAAACAATAAATGTCTATAATGCGGAAATTAAAATGTTGACTCATTTCCGTTTTAACATCTAAAGCAGGCAAGTAATTAACTTAGTGTCTAAATTAGAGAAATAAGATTTTATACTTTAAAAGAACAGTAATGTTTAATATTTCTTCTGTGGGTTACCGCCACAACTCTAGGCTACCTCAATGACAGACATACAAACTCTCAAGAAATATCAGGTGCCCTCAAATTACGTACTGTTGTGGCTCTCCCCAGCACTTTATCAAACCAATTATTTTTAACAGTAGGAATATTAGAAATTCTACCTCCATGGTGATGCGACAGGCTCCCTCCATTAGCAAGGATTTCTTCTCTAGCAGCTGCCTGTATTTGGAAACAACACAACAAACAGTTGCTACTTAGGTTTCATTTTGCAGGGAAAGAGTAAAACCCAGCTCCCAAAGGAGGCACATACTTCCTGGGTTAAATAACAAACTGGAAGCCTAATTTTCCTTTCTCTGGGGTTAACTACATTTAAGAAACAATTAAAATATTCAGCCTAGCTTTTTTTCCCCCCCCAGGTTTTTTTTTTTTTTCTAGTGAATGGTCACAATGTCTACAACAGTCACTTCAAGATTCTAGAAAACAAAAAGAAGAAAAATGATCAATTCAGCAGCACTACATTGTTAATAATAATAAAAAGTTTTATGAAGACAGTCAAGTCCTACTCTGAAGTAAACATCTCACTATACCAACAAATGTTACTAACCCACATTTATTTTAACTGCTTATTTTATGTCTACAAAAGTACAGTAAGCAATCTACCTGCAGCAACTCATTTATTTTCCACTACAGCCTTATGGAATAATTACAATTATCCATATTTCACAGACAAAGAAAATGAGGCTTAGATGGTTAAAGTGCTCACCAAATATCATAAAGTGGGCATCAGACTCAAAATCACTTGCAAAGCTACCAGAGATCAACCGGAAAAGCCCTTATGAAGAACATTACTTTTTTTTTTTTTTTTTTTTTTCAGTGTTCCAAGATTCCTTGTTTATGCACCACACCCAGAACATTTCATAGGTCAATTCCTGGGACAAATTATGGTCCGACCTATTTAAGTGCAAAAAAACCCCCTTATTTTCTCCTCCTAACATGTTTGACCCTGATTAATCTCCTTATAGAGCATTAAGGTTAGAAAAATAAACACTTAAAGGAAAATAGAGAATGACTGAAGTGCAGAGTGGAAAAAAGGGAACAGAAGTAGAATTACATTCAATTCATGAGTATATACCAGCCATGAGATGAAATAGCTACAGTGCCTAGAACTCAGAATTACTCAGGTGTGTCTAACTATCAGGAATTAGGCTAGGGTAGAAGAGGGCCCAGGCAGGACAGATGGACCACATCTCATTGCAAAGTAACTTATATAAACCCTCATCACTGAGGATTTAGGGTTTTTCAAATGAATCCAAAAAATGCTAGCATTATACCTTCTAACAAATTATTTTAAAATTTAATAAACTACTTAATTAAACAAATAATTTTAAATAAGGCAATAACTATTTGAAATTAGTAGTGTTTAGAGAATTGCAGTTTGGATCAGGGAAAAAGGAATAATTTCACTCTTGCAGTACAGTAGTACAGGGACAGGGCCTTTGAGTAGTCAGAAGGCAACCAAAACACTGAAAGGCTAAACTGATGGAAAAGTATTTGAACTTTTGGAGGTGATAAATACGTTCATTATTTTGATCGAGGTGCTATTTTCACAGGTGTAAACATATGCAAAGCTCATCAAATGCACACTCCAAACACATGCAGTTTTCTGTATTTTAATTATACTTTAAAAAAGCTCTTAAAAAAAAAAAAAGGCATAGGAGACAGCCAACCAAACCCTGCTATGGTTTGAGTCTAAAAGTGTGGCACTGAAAATCATTGCATGGTGCTACCTTTGGCAGGCATGCAATAACACTAAGACACTAGGTTTTAAACACTAGTTTAAACGGGAGCACATCTAAGGTTTTAACAAACCTCAGTCTCTTCCCAGTTCCTCTGTAGTCTAGTCTGTCTCCTCAACTCTAGGCATACTTGTAATGACAATTGGAATCTTAAGGCCATTGAAGGAATGTTAACAGAAACTAGCAGTAAATGAACCTCAGTGGCCTATGTATAGCTATAGCAAACAGAAAATTTTAAAACTAGAATGAGGATATTACAGCAACAAAAAGCAAGAACATCAGGGCTGCTGACTTCAAGTGCAGCTGCCATCAGCAAATGGATGAATTGCCAAAGTGATATCAAGGATTCCTACAGTCCTTCGCTATTTAAGTTAATCAGGTTTTATATCCTGTAAGTAACAACCAAAGAATCACAGGTTACAGAATATTAATTCTAACATCTCTAGAGAATATTACTTTTAAACTCACAATTCAGTATACAACTCAGTGCACCAAATATGCTTCTCATTTCTATGAACTGCCAACCAGGTAAGCCATTGAGTGATTAAAGAGAGTCAAACTAAAATTCATAAATTGATAGGAAAGTTTATTTAAATTAATAAAAGAATATAAAAGTATACTCATGTATGCAAAATTACCTCTGTTTGTTCAAACACAGTCAGTGGGTCACTTATTCCCCTGTAGTTAAAGGCAAAGTAGAAATAGATACATGCACCTGCATCGTAAGTCTGCGTCACCCTAAAAAACAAAGAGATAATCCCCACAAGACTTTAAGTTAAGTGAAATCAGATTTAACATTTAGAAATGTAAAGGTAAGATCATTTAATTTGCTTAAGCCATAATCTCATTCTCTACCTAGACTCTTAACTCCATGGAAGGAATGGAGATTGGGTGGATGAAGGAAACACAGGAACTATCTATACTACGTTTAACAACTTTTTTTTAGTAAATCTGGATTATTATTCAAAGAATTTAAAAAATTAAAAAACAATGTATATTTCTCCAATTGATCTGAAATAAACAAAAACTCTACCTCCTCAGAAGAGACTGGTTTGGTTCGGTTTTGTTACACAGTATAGGGAAGTTAATGAAGTCCCCAAACAGACTAGATGGGACTTGGTGATCCATCATAAGCCTTCTAAACTTGCTCAAAGTCAACAAAATAGGCATGAGAACGTAAACCTTGGAAATAAGAGAAATGTTCAAATACCAAAAATGATCAGGCTGGGTAAAATACAGCATCTTCACTAACTTCATATTAATAATTATTAAGAACTTTGGAAACAAATTGAATGATCAGATCAAATGCAATGACAAGGCTTTAAAATACTGTCTCTGAAGGTTTTACACTCTAGACCCCATATGTGCGCATGTTGTATGTGTGTTTACAAACGATACCAAGCACATTAGATTATTAAATCATATATAGGACATATATCTGGGCTTTCAAAATGCAATTAGGTGAAGCATTTAAAAGAGGGCTAAGATAATCATAGTCAGATCTGTGAGTGCAATTTACAGAGGTTCCTACAAAGAATTTAATTTAACAGAAGGAGCATACAGAGGAAATACTCTTTTTACTACAACAATACAAACAGAATCTAATCTAAAATTTTAATGGCCTTTTAGGCCAAATGTTAGGTGCCTCAGAACAGAAGAAATGAACTGTTTAACAATGCTATTGCCAATTTGCCAGCTGTGTGTTTCTTCTAGTGTTAATTCACACTTATAAAAAAGATCTCTTGAATGTTTACATTTTAAGTACCAGATTTACAAAGTTTAAGAAAAACTGGAGAACAGTTTTAACTATGAGGGCACTATCATTTAGGAGTAATCAAATTTAAATACATTGAAAGGATACCTGAATGAAATGAGTTGATAGCAATTAGTAAAATATGTATCACTCATATTTGAATCAGTATCAATAAATAGAAAATACAACTAAATACTAACAGAGCATTGCTACTTTCCAACAAATCTAGGATCTATACCACAGAGTTCAGTTTCAATATATAAACAGGCTTCTAAAAGTCATATAACAAAGTTTCACTGATCAGTAACTCAAAGACAAAGTAAAAATAATAAAAAACATTTTTTTGAAAACCTCAGTTTGGATCTACTTCAGAAACTGACTCAGGTCTATACCTTTTAATAGAACAATTCTATCATTTAAGACACTTAAATACCAACAGCTTCCAAAATTATCTGGACAAGTGATAGCATGCCTGCCAAGGTCATTATATTATTCTTTAATTTCTAATAAATTTTTGGAGTTCTTATGTTAGACTCACTGGCCAGGAATTCTTTCCCATAAAACTTCAGAAAATTTAGAATTAGAATTTCTATTCCAGTATAAAGTACATTTTAATAGACAGAAATGAAATAAATGAACCCAATAAATACACCCTACAGCTAATTATTTTCCTTGGGATCTTTGATTTCAATGAGAGCTATAATTATTTCAAGTTAATTTTAGAATAAATTTTAAAAAATAGTTTAAAAAATGTATTTCACACATTCAATATTTACATTCAACACACAATAACCTGCTTGGCCCACACTATTAAGCAGCTCAAATCAAACTAAACTAAAATCAAACTCTGGTTGAATATTAATTTTATCAAGTATGAGATACAAGAACTATATTTAAAATTCCTTACCAAAACCATTCAAATAACTAGACTGTACATTCTAAATTTTGGTTTTATAAAATGATCACAGAAGCTGAGCATTTAAGGTTTTATCAGAAAATCATTCTTAAAAAAAATAGCTGCTTAATAAATGACATATGTCAAATTTAGTCTACCTACAATACATAACAAAGAGCCTTAGTTAAAGCCCTTATGAGTTCCTTCTGAAGATCCAAGACTTGTGCTATCCTGAGGGCAGAATATTTTACTTCCCAATAACTTTCAGTAAGTAGTGGTTTGTCACAGTGATATTCTCATAATGGAAGGGGAGAAGCCTGGACAGAGAAATAGGGAGGTGGGGCAGAAGGAGGAAGAGGGGACAAAATCTATTAAGTCGCTACTTGGTAAAACAAAGGAATTTAAAAATTCTCAACTACAAAAAAATAGATTCCATTATTTAAAGTATTTCAAATTTTACTGGTAACAAATGACTTTTGGATTATTAGGCCTGATTTGCTTTCAGTATTACAGTAGGAGGCATGACAGACCAGACCACCAAAAGAATTAAGCATCAATTTGGGTTCATAATATAAATGAACAGAAAATTTTTTCTTAGACTTTAAGATTAAAAACTTACTTTAAAAGACATCTCCAAATTAAAAAAGAGAGAAAGAAAGAGAGAGAGAGAGAGGAAGAAAGAGAGAGACAGAGAGGAGAAAGAAAGGTGTATATTGTTAAAGCAAGGCCCCGATTTTCCCTTCCTTTAGATATCAAATGGCCAGTCAATAATCCACATTTTGAGCTTTTATGTTTTTAGATTCATCCCCAAATACACTTGTTCTAAAACATGTTAATACATAAATTAATACACAGGTTCAGTACTTCCTGAAATGTCATCAAACCCTGATATTCTCCCTCCCACACAGAAGCCAAAAACACATTTTCGAGTAGATCTTTCAAGCTGACATGAACATTTAATGTCTAAGAAAGGGGCTTTCCTCAGATCTCATGTTAGAATTTTGCTTTCTTACCCCGGCAAAAAGAATAAAAATTTAGCAAATTCTGAAAGATATCTGTCCCAAAGGGGGCAATAAGTAGAACTAAGAAATACAATCTGGTAGTAGGGAAGTACGAGATGAGGATATAAAAGATAGAAAAAAGAAAAAAATCAAAAGAAATAGCAGTCTGAAAAGCACAGAAATATTTATAGTCTTACAAATGAAATATATGCAAATTATCATGCTACATTAAAATATTAAAGAGGACTTAACAACTGGATGCCTTCATGAGGATTTGTCATTGGCGAAGAAAAACAGTACCTAAATTTCCCTCACTAGCACTAGTATAGGTTGTCTACCTCAAGTTTCATGTAATGACCTCACAACAATTCAATAGCATTCATACAGCCCTTCACATGCCCTCTCTCACATTTCAGACTCACAAGCTCATGGAGTAGATGGTATTACACTGCCTTACTAACGATAAACTCTGAGCTCAAAGAGATTAAATTACTAATATATGGCAAAACAGCGCCTTCACCTATCATACACATGGAGTGTTACAAAACAAAGAAATTTAAAAGTAAACAGGAAGTTGCCATGGCCAAAGAGCTGGTCAGCAGGGCCTAGTTCTCCAGATGGATTAGGCCCAGGTCTGCCTTCCCAGGCTAAGATAAAGTGATTCTGAGCAAATCAGAACAAGCATCACAAATAGAAATGTACAGAAATGGTATTTTGGTGAAGCATATCTGTTGTTTAGAGTCCCGCATCAGGTACACTTAACAATAAGGATATAACATTATTTTCCAAATTACCTTAACTTCTAATTTTGCTTCTATTGTAATTTCTGTGTTTATTTCTATAATAAATATCGAATTACATTCCTGAAAACCACACACACACACACACACACACACAGGAGAGGCAGTTATGTAACACAGAATGTTTAAAAAATTTTAAAGTGCTAGATAACTACTGTATCATTTACTTTAAGGATCCCCTTCACATAATCTCCCCTAATTTCCCTTTATTCTCCATTCCAATGAATTCTATAACTTCATAGATAAGTCAAATGCTTGATTCAGTCTTCATATATTTAATCTTCTGGTGTTTTATACAGGTCTTTTAATAAGAAAAGATTGACTACAAAGTGCCCCTTCTCAAGAAAAACCTCCTTTTGGACTGCTGCTATCTAACAAAGAGGACAAGACTTTCAGTTAACTGCCCACTGTGGAAGATATCAGCCACACGGAGTGTTTTAAATTTAAATTATTTGAAATTAAATAAAACTTAAAATTCAGTTCCACAGTCACATTTCAACAGCTGCACAACCACATGTGGCTTGTGGCTACCATAACAGACAGGGGAGACAAAGAACATTTCCATTGCCGCAGAAAGATCTATTGAAAACAACGACTTAATCTTTATTTGGGTATTTTGCTCCACTCATTCCTTTATTCTATGCCCATTCATTTAATCAATAACAAAGTGGTTAAAAGCACCTTTTGTCTACTGAAGAAAAAGTTATGTTGAGTGTATATTTCTTGAATATATGTGTGATTTACAGCCTCAGTGAATGAAGAGGGAGTCCTTTACTTTTTCTAGAAGCTCCAAGGTTTGGCTCTGCACTATCATGCTGTCCCAGGAGAGCAGAAGGCTCACTCATGGAAAGGTATTCTACTCCTAAAGCACTAAGGACTGCTTTAAAATCCTAGGCACAATCCTAAGAAGGTGGCAAAAGGGAAGTTTAGGAAAACTTGCTAAATGGAATAGACTGAAGATATTCCTCAGTTGGCAAATTACATTTCTCCACTAATTAGAAAATGTGGGTTGTTTTTCTTTTCAGGGTAAGTAGTATAAGAACAACAACAACAACAACTCACCTGCAGGTAGAAAGAGGAGCAAACTGAACACCCTTCTCTTTGCATTCCCTTGTTATTCGCTCTTTTACATTTCTGCAGAGATCCACAACCCTAGAAAACATCATTGAACACAATATGAAGTTTTCAAAAAATTTTCAAAAATGTGAATAAATGCTCATTTACCTGGCATCCTTCCACTTATAACTTCAAAGGAGCAAAGTTCTTTCTTTTTTTGCCATAGGAAAGACAGAAGTCAGAAAAGCATACTCAAGCCTCCTGAAGGTGGTTTCTTATATTCAGGCAAGCCCAATTTCAAAATAAATTTAATTACAAGATTTAAAAACCTTTAAAAAAGCCATAATGAACACGTTAATGAAAATTCAATTCTGGGTTTATAGGAATACCAACCTGTGTCCATGTCTAAAACATTTCCCTTAATATAAAAATAGTAGTCATGATGCTATACCAAATGTCCAATAGCTTACTGTCAAGCACCGAGCTAAAATACAGTTCAACACAGACTTACTGCACATGAACTATGTGTAAAGCTATGCTAGATTGATATTAAAAGTCAATGAAAACAGACAGGTAAGAAATAGTTCTTAAAGGGAAGAGGGGATTGATAATATTCAAAATGTCAATCCTTTTTTCTAAATTTTAAATAAACTTTTTATTTGAAATAGTTTTAGATACAGAAAAATCACAAAAACAGAACAAAGAGTTCCTCTTTTCCCAGTATCCTCGAACGTTAACATATTATACTAACCATGACAGATTTGTCAAAACTAAGAAACTGACCTAAGGACATCACTATTAACTAAAACATACACTATATTCATATTTCATCGAATAACAAAATTCATTTTGACCACGAAATACTATTGTTTTAAAATATGAAGGTATCCAATTTCTTTTGTTCTTTAGTGTTTTTTTTTTAAATAAAGAGAACCTTAGGCTTGATTTACTTATTTATTTTTAAAGATTTTACTTATTTATTTGATAGAGAGAGAGAGATAGCGAGAGAGGGAATACAAGCAGAGGGAGTGAGAGAGGAAGAAGAAGGCTTCCTGCGGAGGGGGGAACTGGGCTGGATCCCAGGATTCGGCAAGGATCATGACTTAAGCCAAAGGCAGAAGCTTAACAACTAAGTCACGCAGGGGCCCCTTGTTGTTTAGTTTTTGATATAATTTTTAAGGTCCTATTTGGGAGTGGAGGAGATCTAATGGTGACGTATCCATATTTGGGGAACAAGCTCAGAAAAAAGTTCTGAAATAGAAAATGGATGTCAATCAGAGCTTCTAGGGTGGAGATCCAGAGACAAAAGATTTGACAGATAAAAGATTAATCTGTTTTTTTAATATGAGCTGTAACATTTTGTTATTACTACATATTCCATTTGTTTTGGAAAATAAAGCTCCTAAGGGACATATAAGCCACCTTATTCTCCAATAAACACTCTGGCTACATACTGACACTGACTGTATTTTAAATCTTGGTCTTTTTAGAATCAGGAGAATAGAAAAGATAACAAAGAAACTCAGAAGGCTGGGCCATCTCTAGTCTAAAGACTGATTTGACTGTGTGAGAACCAATCTGATTAAAAAAACTAATATTTACATGGATTATGCTTTATTAAACACATTAAAGTTACTTATATTTCCAGTAAGAACAAAGAATATACATTAAAATATAAATATGGGATTTTAGTATTTCATTAACTACTGTAGTAGCATGTCAAATTTTTTTTAATATGGTATCTGCAAGCTTTACAAATTCTGATTGATTTTATGAGAGTTCCAGGCAAACATGATTTATCAAGTTTATCTATGCCTCAATTATGGAATGATAGGATATATGTTTTTAAAATACCTCTTGTAAAAGTATTTGGATTATTGGAATTTATTGTGTCATTATTTTGAAAATCCAACTTATAAAACAAATACCTGAAATATAAATTAAAGCTACTAAACTTTAAGAGCTACAGGGGTTAATAAAGATTAAAAATTTATAAACAAGTTCTTTACTATGACTCTAGAAGACAGATTCTTTACATAGCATTAATTTGTTACATAACAATAATAATAATAACCTACAGTAGTAGTAAGGAGGAGATGGAACCAAGAACTTGACTGACTGGTTAAAACCCTTAATGGGATACTTTCTAGAAATGATTTATACAGAGGGGCTCTGAAAGCATTCTCTCATCGAACCTGTACACAGTTCAGTCCGTTTGGACTGATCATCCTATGGGAAAGAAAATAACTGTGTATACTTTCAAATTCTTACCTGACCTATTAGCAAATTTAACCCTGTTGACTATTTCCTACTTGAAAAAAAACTGCCTTGGGCTTCTCTCACATCACTGGTTTTCCTCCAAATCCTCTGGATATTATTTTCTTTTGCTAGCTCTTGCTTGTATGCTCATCCCTTAAATGCTGGGATTCCCTGGAATTCATTCTCAGACCCTCTTTTTTTTCCATTCACCTATACTACCTATAAGGGTTTGTATTTACTCTCTTGGTTTTAATCCCAAGTCTCATGCCAGTGAGTCTCCAAAATCTTTAAATCTCCAATTCAGACCTTTTAGACCGCTATTTTTATAGGCTGTATTCTTACACCATTCCAGAGTTCACTCATAGTACTCTGCAGAATATTCATTGAGCACTTAACAGATACAACCATTTTGCTAGGGCTACTGAGAAATACACAAAAACTACTAAGACCAATAGTCCCATAAGAGACTTATGCATGAAAAGGCCTAGCAATCTGCTAATGTGTGAGAGTTGAAGACTGATCCCATGGGTTTCTGCTAAACATGGTCTCTACCTAGCTAAATGGTTGGAAGAAAAAGCAAGTTGCTGAATGGGTAACAAGTAAATTTTATGTCAGGAATGTAGCTGCTTTCCATCAATTTTATTTAAGAAAACTTCAGCTGATATTGTTTTAAATGAAAACAAAATAAATATATAACCCCGTATAAAAGATATTGTCAGTGAGTAAAATAAATATATAAAAAATACATAAGAAAAGGATTTAAATAGTGAAAAGATAGTACATGATTAGCTTCCATAGCTACAAGAATAGAAAGACAAATAGCAATCATCAATTAATATTAACTGATGAGGAAATTCGTAATGCTGAAGAAGTTAACACTACACTAACCTACCATTCCCAGCAAGTAAACATATAAAAGACTAAAATGGTCTTTGAGACAACTATGAATAGCTAGACAACTATGAATAGCTACCAAATGATATTTGCTATTCAAAAGTTCAGATATCAGTAAACTGATTTTTTTATTTAGAAGATTTATCCCCTTGTTAAAATATCGCATCAAAAACTGAGTGACAGATTGGTACTATACACTTGATCACCGTTTTATAATGCATGGACTATGAACATCCATGCACCAAAAGTTAGAACCCAGAGTAGATAAAGAATGAATGCAGAAAAGTAAAAAAGTTTTCTGGGGGAGGGGAGTAAAGAGGTTAGAGTAGAAAAAAAATGTTAAGATATGTAATATCTACAGGTGGATTCATGGGGATGGATCTGTTATATCTTATTTACTTTATAATAGCTTTAAAATAATTTGTAGATTTTATAAAGAAAACGTAAAATGTTAAGGCATACTCAAACAAAAATGTACCAACAGTCTTAAGAATTTTTATTGCTGAATGAGTTAACTCAAAAGTCCATTTTTAATAAAACCATCTCACATTTGCTCATCAGTTTTTATTATCAATTCCCTAAACCAGTATCTGTATGTACATGTGTATAATGCAAAAACAGAAATTGTACATAATATCTTAAGCTGGATTTCTTTTAAAAATCACTGAAATACAAGTTAAAATCTTACCTAATAATACCCCTACAAATATCAAAAGCTAAATCATTTATTACAAAAGAAGGTTAACAGTGGTTTTAAAATTTGGGGGAACTTTTCAGAGGACATTTAAGCTATTAAGCACTTAAAATTTTACACCAAAGCTAGTGAAACTATACAGTGACACTTAAGTGCTCAATAAGATTCTTTAAAATGTAGATTCCAGTAATATCTTCTTCTTCTATGGGACATGGACAAATCTGCCTCAAACAAACAAAAAGGCTCACAAATATGATATTTTGAAGAAGATATTGATTTTTTAAAAGATTTATTTATTTTAGAGAGAGAGCACGAGTGGAGGGGAGGGGAGAGAGAGAGGGAGAGAGAGAATTTAAAGCAGACCCTCTGCTGAGTCAAGAGCCCAATGTGGGGGCTCAATCTTATGACCTGAACTGAAAGAGAGAGTCAGATACTCAACTGGGCTGGAACCACCCAGGCATCCCAAAGATAATAATTTAAATAAAAGTGTTTCTTTACAAAAATTTAAAAATTCGTATATTCAGGTACAAAGATACATTATTTTAGCAACTCCTATAGCATATTTGAATAATATTAGGCATTTTATTATATTTTACCTGTCCCAAGGAGCAGAAGTCTCAAAAGACTCTCCTAATACATAGTATTCCAAACCCAAGTCCTGTTAAAACATATATACAAAAATCAAGATATTACAACAGGCACAGAAGAATGAATACTATTGTAATATTGCTAGTATTTCACATAATTTTTAGTATTACCTGTTTCTAATGTAACCTCCACTGCTCTTTACTCTCCACTCCATAAAAGCACTAGAAAGTGGCCCTGAGAGTGAGCTATAACCTCCAGGAGGACAGGAACTTTGTCTGTCTTACTGTCTTCTGTACCCTTGTACCAGGCAATGTGCCTGACACATGGCAGGAATTTAAATATTTCTCCAAGGAATGGAGTCTCTAAGAACTGTCTATGTACATACAGAGGATACTAGGACTGATTTTTTTAGTAACCTAAACAGCAAATTAAACAACATTAAAAAGTGGTCAGGAGGATGGAAGGACCAGGCCAACAGAGAAGTGGGGGAGGGGGACTAAAGGAAGAAGGTATCTCTCTCTCCTGAAATCAACTTTTCTTTAAAAATAAATTAGAAAATATAGTGCCTCACTTTGTAGTAACTAAATAAGATAGGATATCTGGAAGCATCTCTGCTAGGAAAGTGTATTTTATAACATACAAGATATAATTCTTATTTGGTAACTAACTTACAATACAAATTTCTTTAACCGGAATACAATTCTGCTTTAATACCAAAACTGGAAAAAGCAATTCATAAGCCACCACAGAAGTGCAAAGATAGGAAAGAAAATTTTATAAGTAGAAAAATCAACACATGTTAAATTTTCACTTCTAGCAAAATGAATCATTTCAATTCTACCACTGGTTGACAGGAAAAATCCCCAAATTACTGATCTAAAATATGTGGATTTTCTCTTCTGCATTCACTTATGCAGTACATACACTTGGTGACAAGGTATTAAGCACTGGGAAAATAAAAAATAAGACAAAACAAATATTCACCCCACTCCAAATCTCAAAATTGCTTCTGATTCCGTTTTAACAGTGTCTATGCTGTACTTGTTACAGTTACATTTCATTTTCTAGAATTCTGAATTCAGTATTATAGGAAAATGGTCAATATACTTAGAGACAATGCCCAACAAAACATTTATATACATTCAGATTGCTTACTATGGGAGAGCTTGGAAAAGTAACAGTCTATGGAGGTAAACATTATTAATAAGACCTAAAATCATCTATTACTTTTCATGATCTGTAAATCCCTTAATCACAATTTCTAACGTAACACACAAGCAATAAATGTAATTTTCCTTATCAGCATGGAAGAATGGGGCTGCCCAGGAAAACGTATATGCTTCAACTTTACTGCAACCTAAAATTTAGATCTTACCAAGGATTAAATTATTTTTTTTAAAGACTTTTTAAAAAAAATTAACTTGACAGAGAAAGAGAGCACAAGTAGGCAGAGAGACAGGTAGAGGCAGAGGGAGAGGCAGGCTCCCTGCTGAGCGGGGAGCCCAATACCGGGCCAATCCCAGGACCCTGAGATCATGACCTGAGCTGAAGGCAGATAGATGCTTAACTGACTAGTTATTTTTAAAATGAGAACAATCCAAACTTTCTTAGAGAAATAAAAACAAATTTTATATAAGTTTATGTATTTCCTTCAGAACAATTTCCAAGTGAATATTTAGAAAATTCAGCACTTGGGAAAGTTAAATTCTCAGTAGGACATTTGAGGAATGACTTTTTAAAATAAGACCCTTCAAATTATATAAACAAGCAATATTTTCAAAATGTAACCCTAATAAGAGCAAAAACAATTACAAAACTTGAGTTTATTATAGCCAAAGTAGAAAAACAAAACAAAATAAATGAATAAACTTCTGAAAGAATACTTTCCTATCGGTAAGTATAGTAGACTCTTGGTCAACATGACTAATAAAGTTTCTCAAAAATAGAAAAACTGGAATTAGAAAAATTTTAGACAAATTATTTTATTTAGAATTAATTTTATATAGCAATCATCACCAGTGAACCAATTACTACTTGGAACCAAATTAAATACCAATTTTTAAAGAGTTAAAGAAAGATTATATATCTTTAGAAGAGATTATGAACCAGTCAGAGTAGAATGACCTAAATAATCTTTAAATTCCTCAAAAACATTTAAGGAAGACTTCACTGGGCTTCTGAACACTCGTAAGCTAGTCCTACATTCATGTAAAATGATGTGGTACACCATACTAGATTAAAACTTAAGCAAATAATTTTATTCATTCAAAGTAAGGAAAAGTATGGTCTGCAACATAAATTGACAAGGGAAATACGAGATAACTTACTCGAATGTATGCGATGACGTACGTCAGCAAATAACCTCTCTGTCCATTATCTTCTCCAGCTGCCAATCCACTGTAATTAAAGAACAAACTGTGAATATATATCATATGTATTTATTAAAAATATATAAAACTAACCAAACTAATATGACACCCAAAGATAACTGCTTAACAGATTAACAAATATTACATTGCATCTCATTTTTATTTTAATCTAATTTATCACAAATGTATCAAAGAGCTGTGAAAAGAATGAGCTTGGGTAACAAAAACCTAAAATCACTTATAATATTTCAGTTTGGTCATTAATTTCAAACTTTTATCTATCAAACTAATAAAACTGACTCATATGAACTCAACTACTTCTACCCATACTGACAACAGAGAATTAGCCAGGAGAAACAAATTTAAGAAAACTTTAATAAACTTCACAAGCATAACAAGATACCTAAAATACTCTTATTTTATTCATATATTCTTATCCATATATTCATGTGTCATTATAGTCTTGTTCACATATAAAGATGTACAATGATGGACTACATCTTCCAAATGCCAAAAAGTTTTTTGCATACTCATGCACATTGCATATGAAGTAACAGACACAGTGTTTATTTTATGAAACTTGTAACTTAAATGAGACAAAATATATGTACACAGAAATATTAAAGTTTAGGAAGCAACATACAATTACAAGAAAACAGGTAAGGTTTTATTACTATGAACTATTCATTTCTGTTTGAGAGTAGTTTTATCCACAGAAACTGTATTTGGTGATCTATTTAGAACTAATCCCATATGACATATAATTCAGTCCAAGTACTCTGCTTTGTGAAAGTCATTCTTATTCTACTACCTTCAGTAAAGAGCTTTCACTTTTGCTTGTTCCCATCATCAGACAGAAATTAAATTTTAACTATTCTTAGTCAACTGAAGAAAACTTACCATAAACGCCCAAAGTGCCCATGGGGAAAAAAAAAAATCCCTCAATAAAACCAGATAAAAAGAAAAGTGCACTTTCATGTGACTTTCTTGGGTCATAATGGGTGCTAAACTTCTCTGTCTCTCTGTAGAATGCCATAATTACACTTCCTTGGTCTCAGGATGCTGAGCCCTTAAACACAGTGTTGCCTAAGACTCAGGTCTTGAACCTCTGTTCTTTGAGCCTTCTCTGGAAGAATCAATTTTCTTATTGCTTCGATTAACACCTTAGAGTTAAGTTCTTGCTTCCCCCTAAGTTTTGCTTGGATTTAGCAGTAAGTACATAATACTTCATAGATGTACCTTTATGCTATATAAATACTGTAAGGCAATTTTAGACTCAGCTGTAAGGGCCAAATCAGATTTCCTGACTTAGAATATAGCTGCCTAAAAACAAATCAGTATCACCCAGGGAACTGGCAAACACTTGACAGGAGCACCTCTAGTCTTGGAATACAGTGGAATGTAATACAATGGAATGGAATGGAATGGAATGGAATGGAATGGAATGGAATGGAATGGAATGGAATACAATGAAATGAAATGGGGGGGGCTGTTTGTATTACTAAATGTTAATGACCAAAGAAGACAAAATTTAAAGTCAACCAGTTGAAAGTGAAAAGTAAGAAGAAATAATATAATTCTGGATTGAATATATATGGATTTGAGGTCAGGGTAGGAGGTCAAATAAAGCTCTAAAACAAGAAGCAAACAAGTCAGAAGGTTGCTGTGGTAAAGTAAGTGCATGGAGGAAAATATCTGAGTCTATACCTCAGGTAGATTTGAAGCAGAGTCAGACACTGAGTTCAAGAAAGAAAAAACACTACTGAGCTAGGAAACAGGAACAATTCATCTCGGGCCTAGCAGCAGAAAGAAAGGACAGTGAAGACTAGCAAAGGGTGCAGGAGACCTGCGCTGGGAATCCCTGAGAAGGCACGCTCTAAGCAGGTATTTGGTGGGAAGTAATAGGTAGGAACATTTAGTAGACCTGTCTCTCTTAAATAAGGATGAGAAAAAGTCCTACTTTGCAATCCCATCTCAAGCCATTTTTCTTTAGATCCTGTTAACATCTGGTGGGATGGGAAGATCTGCTTCATTTTGGAATTCAGTGTGACAAACCACACAGAAACATGCATTTTCTTACCCAAAACAGGAAAAAATCAAAGTCATTCTAATTATTCATAAATCCCAAAGGAGAAGAAAAGTCATTCTGGGCTTGCTTTTCGGAATCACAGGTTTTCTGGCAAATTTAGCTTTCTGTAACTTCGATCTCTCTCTTTCTCTTTCTCTTTTTGTAACTTTCAGAACTCTATCTTCTAGACAGGATTACTTTAAAATACAATATATAAACAAGAGTAGGGTGTAGAAATTAAATGCTTCTAACTTGCCATTTTGCAGCCATTTTGGTATTTAACTTGGGTCCAAGTAGTAATTGGTTCACTGGTGAGGATTGCTATATAGAATTAATTCTAAATAAAATATGTCTAAAATTTTTCTAATTCCAGATTTTCTATTTGTGATAAACTTTAACAGTATACTACGGTTCAAAACACTTTATGGCAAAGTAGCAACATCCATCTCTTCCTACTCCCCTCCACAAATCTCAAACATCAATTAACAAGGTTCTTAAATAAATTTAAACCTCTTTCATGAGAAAGGGCTGGGAAGACTAATGAAAGAGGAATGAGAGACAATCTTTTTATATAAAAGAGCCATCTGGTGAACCTAATCACTCTCATGTTGAATTACATTAAACAACTTAAGGGCGCCTGGGTGGCTCAGTGGGTTAGGCCGCTGCCTTCGGCTCAGGTCATGGTCTCGGGGTCCTGGGATCGAGTCCCGCATCGGGCTCTCTGCTCAGCAGGGAGCCTGCTTCCCTCTCTCTCTCTCTGCCTGCCTCTCTGTCTACTTGTGATCTCTCTCTGTCAAATAAATAAATAAAATTAAAAAAAAAAAAAAACATTAAACAACTTAAGCACACACTTTAAAAATAACAACACATTACCTTAAGTTCTATGATAAATGTCAATACATCTGTCATGATTGCTGACAGGGAATGTTTATTCTGTTTGACCCTTAGAGAAGTTATAGTATATTGCTAGCAAACATAGATAAACAACCAAAGTATGATTATTCAACATTTGCCTATTATGTTCCATTGGCACATACGTGCTCAAAGGTATGTAACAGTGTTAGGGTAGGGGTATAGGAAAGAAGGAAAAATGGCTAAGATAACACTTAAAAATGTTCTAAACTGTTGGGAGTACTTTATTTAAAATAATCAATTCAAAGCTAATGAGGTGGTAGGAATAGAAGATAAAAGAACAGAAAATCTTAAAGGATAGATGAATAATGTCCTAATTCAAAATAAAATACATGAACTAAACTAACTAATCAAACTTTAGCAGAAAGAAATTTATGCTGCTTTTTAATTATGCAGAAGAAATCATTCATTGGGGAGCAAGGGTTGGCCAAGTGGCATCTTAAGTAAGTAAGAAAAATATCCCTGAATCTTTCAGTGATTAGAACGAAGAACTAGTGCCTAGGGAGAAACACGGAGAAAACCAGGACTTCTGCTAGAAAACCATATGAAGATATTTCCAAGTATCAAATCAAATCAAAACCAAAATAGCCCTAAGTCATCTGCCTAATGACAGCCTGAACCCTAAGTCATCTGCCTAATGACAGCCTGAATTATTAATACAGAAGATTTCTGCATCCAAATGAAGGAAACCAGGATGAAAGCACATTAAGAAACTAATTATAACATAACTAATAAGTGGCAAATAATAATAGCCAAAAAAAGAGACCCCAATCAGAGTTTGAGTTTTAATGTTTTGCCCTTGCTTTAAATAGGTATCTCACTTACTATAACCTATTTTAATGGATGATTTTGATATGTTTTGTTTGATATAAACAGATAACTCGAATGAACTCAGTAGTTCTGAGGCTTCAGTATCAGTATCTAAAAAGACCTGGATTCATCCTAAGGAAGTTCATTTTTAACTTCTAAGTTGTAAATGACTGGAATTACATGGGAAAAGCAAGACGAATTATATGACAGTAGAATTCATGACAGTTGGCGGCTCAACTTAAAACTGACAAAATGGCTCTGATAAATACCTAAAGATTAAAATATACTGTTTAAAGAGGGGCATAGCAGTTAGGCATATATGAAATAGAATAAAAATTGTTAGGGAAAAATATTCAATTTCCTTTATTCTTTCAACAAATGTTCAATCAAGCATCTAGTATATACTAGGCATCAGCAGTGATATCCAAGAGAAGACAGGACTTGCCCTATAAAAATTATGTCTTACCTCACATGAAAAGGCATTTTGCCATCATCCTACCCACCCAGTCCAATAGGAAATGTAGCACATTATTAACTACTAATGATTTTGCTGGCTACTCTGAATTATAATTACACTTAAAGATACTATAAAGTAGAATTTCTATACATGTGTATCCATGTGTGGGGGTGTGTGTGGGAAGTAGGTTGAGGACGAAGGGATTAAGGTGAAACTAAGCAAATTTACCTTATTTATATAACATGATTCAAATATTATAGTGTACATTTCCCTACAAGTGCTCCTGAACAATTTTGAAATCCCAATTAAATATTTAAAAATATAGGGCACCTGGGTGGCTCAGTGGGTTAAGCCTCTGCCTTTGGCTTAGGTCATGATCTCAGGGTCCTGGGATCGAGTCCCATATTGAGCTCTCTGCTCAGAGTGGAGCCTGCTTCCTCCTCTCTCTCTCTCTGCCTACTTGTGATCTCTCTCTCTGTCAAATAAATAAAATCTTTTTAAAAAAAATTTTTAAATATATAAAAAAATTTTTTTAAGTTTCAACCTCTAATATTTAAGAACAGAAATAAAAGATTTACTTTAGATATAAAAGGTTTTCATCTAAACCACCTTAATTTTTTCTAACACCATGGATTTTAGGAAATAAGCTAAAAATCAAATTATGTATAAACTCCCAAAACTTAGAAACTAAAAAGTAGGTACACGTACATTTCAAAAATAAATTCAGAGATTAGCCTGTAATCTAAGCCTTTCTGTTACTAACTGAACTTTTATAGCACAATTACTCTTAACTAATTTAGTTAAAAAATCAGTAATTCCCAGAAAAGGTACTGTGAAAGAGGAAAAGTGAAAAATTAATTAATTTCATCTTTTACTGAAGAAACTCCACTTGCCAATTTCAGAATAAGGTAAAAATAAAACCGAGAAACTAATTTGCATTACTCAAAAACAGTATAAAATTAAAAATTAAGCCCAAGATTAGATCTTTTTCCAAGAATTCTGCATTTAAACACTAAGTTCAGAACATCCTAAAAATGAAGGGCTACATATTGTATGTGAGAAAAATACATAAAAGTGAGGCATTCTAAAAGACAAGGCTACAAATTAAGTGCCCATTTATTTTCATAATAGCAAAAAAGGGAAATTAAATATTTACAAAGAACTCAGATTAAACATAATGTATATTTTAAGCTCTGAAATGAAAAAAGGAAAATGTTATCCAGGAAACTTAGTTTATGTACTTAGAAAGGAAAGGGAAAAAATGTAGTCCTGATAAATGGCATTTTCACTATAGTTCTCATCAATCAATCTCATAATCCATCAAGCAGACAGAAAGAAACCACCCAATCATTATTCAGTAGGTTATAGATGTGAAATGTTTTCTGTTTCTTTATACCAGCACAAAACAGTGAGTGACAAGGGGTGGAGTATAGAAAATTTATCAAATTCTTTTGTTTAAAAAATTTCCTTTTAAAAACATACTAATAACATGTTTTATACATACACAATTAACACTAAATAGTAAGAGGACTATGAATTTTTCATATTTTACTCTAGTACAATGAAAGCAAACATTATAAAATCAGCATTAATGGAAAAATATAATAAAATATTTAATATATCTCATATATGATCACAAATTTTAGAAGTAAACCAACACATTTTAAGTTGACTATCATATATTACCCAAATTTAATACTTTAAAGGATACATTAACAACTGTTTACAGATAGCAGAATTTTAATTATTTATTTTTTTTAAAGATTTTATTTATTTATTTGACAGAGAGAGAGATCACAAGTAGGCAGAGAGGCAGGCAGAGAGAAAGAAGGAAGCAGACTCCCTTCTGAGCAGAGCCTCATGCGTGGCTCAATCCCAGGACCCTGAGATCATGACCTGAGCCAAAGGCAGTGGCTTAACCCAGTGAGCCACCCAGGTACCCCCAGATACCAGAATTTTAGATTAACATTCTCTTGCCATTATGAACTAAAAGCCATACCCAAATTTTGCAGCGATGTCATACACTTGCTTTTCATGTTGAAGAACCTTCTCACGGTCGCCCTCAAATAGTAATGTAGCGACAGTCAGCTGATTTGGATCAAATCCTTTGAACTACCAAAAAAAAAAATTATTATAGATAAGTCTTATCCTACAAAACAGTAAATCAAAATACATTCTGCTCATTTTTCCTTCTGATCTGGGCTCAAAGATACCAACTCTTTAAAACTGAGCTTTGGAATTTTACATGTGAATCAAAAAGAATGTTTAATGCACCTATTCAGGTTGTTACAAATAACAAAGCTATAGAAAAATACTTATTTTCAAAGTATGTCATGGTGTCACTTATAATAACATATGGGTAAGTAATACAACAATAGAACATGTAAGAATTATAGCTGCAATAAAGAAGCAAATAAAAATACCAAATGATAGAATATAATGAATTAGCAAGATGTAACATGAGCAAAAAGTAAAAAATAACAGCATCCTTACATACCAAAAATAACTTATTAAATAACATTTTCAAAGGAGATCTTACATATACAATTAAAATACCTAAGAATAACCATAAAAGGAAATATGTAACCTCATTAGGAAAACATGTCTAAAAATGGATTATAAAGACCTATGTTCTAGAATGCCTCAACTAAGCATATAAACCTGTCAATTCTTGCTCAACTTAATATACAGGTTCATTCCAATTCTGATAGAAACCTTAATGGACTTCCTAAGATGGTGAAGAGTTTCTAAGGTTTTTCTAGGTTGATGAACAGCAGGCTATGATGGAAAACAAGGAAAATTCTAAAAAACAAGAACTAGACCTATAGCAATTAAATCCATTTAATTTTTCAAGAACAAAAAGCCATTAAAAAATGTGATACCTTTTTAAAATTCAATTTATATAAACTAAACAAACAAACAAACAAACAAACAAAAGTTCACCTTCTCCTCCCACCCCTCAACCCCTAAAAGCAAAAAAAGTTCATTTTCTTTTCTCACCCCTCACCCCTGTCTCTGGCAGTTACCAGTCTGTTCTCTGTATCTATAAGCTTAGTTTTTTGTGTTTTTTTTTTTAATTTTTTCCAGATTGCACATATAAGAGAAATCATACAGTATTTGATACATTAAAATGGAGTCTACGTCCTGAGTCAGTACATAAGATGTCTTAGACATGGCAAGTCAATGTAAGAGAAGCAGGGATTAGTTAGTTAATGGTGCTGTCACAACTGGTTAGCAATTGGGGAAGTACAAGGTGAGGTTAATTTAGAGCTTTATCTCAAATCATTAAACTGAAATAAATTCAAAGAGTAATAAAGATAAAAATTTTTTAATTCCCGCTTAACTAAAAAGCAAGAGAGAGAAGAAATGCTCCCAACTTAGAAGTGGTTAAATAATCACAGGAAAAGATACAAAATTTTGAAACTTTTGCACCAAAAAGAAAAACTCTTATTAAAAAGGGAGTCACCCAAATTAATTAATTAGTTAATTAATTAAAAGGGAGTCACCTGACTCAAAAAATTCTTCACTACATTTAAGACAAAGGCATCTAATAATCCCATTACTCAAGATGGTACAGCAAAGTACCAAGGGAAAAAACCACGAAGTTGCCACCCCTGGCAAAATAACCATACTGAACTAATGCAGACAAAAACTGTACTAGGAATTACAGGGAAATGATGGGTCTCACTGGAATTTCAATGAGAAACACTAACTAAAATAAAGTACTACTCCCCTCCCCCCACCCCCGGCCGGTTTCAGTACATTTAGAACATAACAGAACACAACTCCCACATGCCATAGCAAGGATGGAACAAAGAAACAGCACCGGTGTGTCCCTAGAGGTAATGTAAGCTGGCATAACTGTTTAGGAAAGGAATTCAGCAAAGATTAAAAAAAAAAAAAATCCACACTCTCATTTCACTAGACAGAGATATCTACTACAAAAAAAATAAAATAAAAAAATCAAACTATAAAAAATCTTACATGCATGAAACTGTTTGATGTTATTTTTTAGGAACTTCATATCTGGAAAAAAATTATTTCTGAAATTAAATGCATAACTGATTTACTTGATAACATATATATTCCAACATAAAAAATAATAATTAAAAATGTACATAACACCATGAAAAAACATACTTGATAATAGGTACATGTGAAGGGGGAGAAGGCAGAAAACAAAATATCATAAGCACTTTATAACTTTAGCATTTTATAAAAATTCTTACCTTTGTAATATAAAATTTCTTTAAGCCATCCAAAAATGATGTGAAAATAGAGGAAACCTGAGGTTTAAGAGCATGACCTAAGAAGAAAAAGTTCATAATTTAAATTAATAGTAAATTTTCTTTTTCAAAAGATTAAGAGGCTAGTTTAATTTAGTATCCTAAAAAAGTGAATGTTTCATGTCTCCCAATTTTTTAAATCTTCCTACATTTATATATAGCATATTGATATTATTATCTACATCTTTTAACTTTATTTTCTTTCAAAAGTCACAACTTTCTGTTACAAAACCTCTCATTTCTTTTTGAACTCAAATTACTATATGTAAATACTACATATAATTTAGGTTATTTTTCAATGGTATAGTTTATACATAGTAAAATCACTTCATTAATTTTTATTTCATTAAGAACAGCCAATGGTGGCTGAGTTTACTTTTATTTTTTGTAATTATGCAGAAACCATTCAGAACTATAACCAAATATGCAGTCAATGCCAAGTTTAAGGTTGTTTCTTAATTAATTCTTAATTCTTCCAGAATTCTTGGCATAAAACTAGTAATTGCTTCCTTAATCACACCCAGAGAGTTAAAATTGCCAAAATAACATAAACAGTGTCTCAGAGTCTGTTAAATTAACATCTTTGCCTGCGGATTGGGCTTAATCGAGTGAAAGTCTTTTACTGTTTTCTCATTGTTTTCAGAGTAACAACTTCTTAACTCCCTTGACTGTTAGATTAAGAGTCATACATCTGGTCTTAGTGCTAAAGCCCCCATTCAGAAAAATGGGGCATACCATTTACAAAGAATTTTTATAAAGAATTTTAAAGTCTCTAGTAAATCTGAAGTTATTTTCAAATAAAAATTTTATTTTTTAAAAACAGCTTTAAGATTTTGGGATGTTGTTTTTGTTTGTTTGTTTGTTTGTTTGTTTAAAACAGAGATCTCTTCTTTAAAATAGGTGCAAATAGCAAAGGAGTTTCTTTGGTGGGGAGGGGAGAGATTTCTAGGGGGAAAAAACAATGACTTGTATTTTTTTTTCCCCATTCATTTTTTTTTTTTTAAGAATCTGAATCTGTTATACTTACTATATTTCTACTACTTACAGTAGGAAATTGTGACATGAAAGACCAAGTAACATAAGTCTTAACCAGAGGTAAAGAATTAGCTATCCATGTTATAACTGAACAAAACAAGAAACAACAAAAATGAAGGGCAGATTTGATAGAGATCAACCTAGCAATCTTTTCAAGTTCCTGGATCACATGTTTGGGAAATTTTTTTTCTTTTACTGTACCCTGTCAAAAAATGTTTCTCCAGCATCATCAGTGCCTTAAAAAATACCATTTCTAGAAAGTATAAAGTTAGAAATAACATACTATCAAAATATTCACTTCCTGTCCCAAATGGAATTTATCCTACTTTAATAATTAGAAATGAATAAACATAAATGTGTATGTTAGTCATATTCTTGCAAGAAACTGAAATTATCTGTTCCCATATAAGCCTTCTGATCCACATATCTTTACATAATTTATGACTCCAAAAGTCACTAATGTGAAATAATCCTTAAGGATCATCTTAACACATGGAAATTTATTTGCACAATTTCCATTAACACTAGTGGGACTTAGTCACATATATCCCAAATAATGAGTTGACATGATAGCTTTGAAGAATAATCATCATAAAAGCGATACTATCCTTAAGTGTGTCAAGCATTAGTAGTCACCTAAGATTTGCATTCAACCCTGGCTCTACCACATACAACCTGTGGGCTTTGGTTGAAATATCTAGCCTTTGAGTCATTTGTAAACTGGGAGTCACTTTCAGGAACAGCTGTGAGGAGTATTTGATAAACTATGATACTGATATTGTGCCTGGCATAGTACTAAGCGCTATTCAAGATTTGTTCACCCTCTTTTGCTAAGTGGATGATTAAGTCAATCAACATCAGGGCCTATCATATGACAGGTGTAGGAGATACAAAAATGATAAAGAAACATGCCCTAAATTTGACAAACTTTAGTTTTTAGAGGAAATCTACAGATCATTTCAATATATTCAATGATATATGTCATTTCAAAATATTTAAAACATATCATTTCAATATAATAAACTGAAGGGTTGCATCAGAGGTAGGAGTGAAATTAAAAATACTAACATCTAATAATAAGGTTTGTGCTTTGTCAACAACCAATATGGTACAAACACCGCAAATCAGCTAGTAAAAAGTCCTAGACATCCCTTGCTGTGCTAAGTGTTATTCTTTAGTTGCCTGATCATGGAGCCATGAAAGATATATAGATGGAAAGACTTCAACAGGTAGTGAGAAATCAAAAAGGTTATAGATAGCTAAGAAGCAGAATCAGATCTGTCTGTTCAACAAACCACTTTAACGCCCATGTAAAGGGTGGCCATGTAAACAGTAGAAAGAAGAGATACAGTCCAGACTAGAGATGGTAGAACCTGCTTTAGAACATGTTCCTAGACAGACCAATGAGAATGTGGAATAGGGACGACAGATGGCCAGAGGATCTTTGCTTTAAACCTTCATTTTAAATTGTTAAAATCCCAATTATAAATAAAATCTAGTCAAATCAGTTAATTTTATAAATATGTCTGTGTCTAACATAATTCACTATAATAATAGCATATAAATGGATAACACAACATTATTAATCAGATACATGGCTCTCTTAAGACCTACATCTCTAAATGCAGGCTGAAACACACAGAAGTCTTCATTTTCATTTGATTTAACTATTTCATTATTTATAGGACACACTTATCTTAAGCTTTTATCATTTTGAAAATAATTTACTTAAAGGAATAAAAGGTATGACTTGGAAGAACCTAACTTTAAACCTAACTCTTGATATATTATGAACATGACTTCCTTAAGTTTCTATATAATAATCACTCTTCTCTAAATTAAAATCTAAACTACTTTTAAGTAGAACAAACAAAACCTGCCTATCTTAGCCATTAATATTTACTACTGAGCAATCATTCCTATAATTTCAGACACTGCTCTGAAGACTTCAATTCTATAAACTTGGATCCCAAATTCAATTTCAGCATATGGGAAAAATATAGAAGCAATAAAATTAGAATGAAAAGATGACAAACTGCATCAGAAAGTCAAATACTTTAAAGCAAAATAGGGAGAAAAAGAAACATGGTTATCTGCTAGTGAATTCTCTACCAGATTATTCCAAATGGTACCTTAAAGGCAACCCACTGTAAGATCTCTTCCACCAAATCATCATCTCTTCCTCTAGACAGTTACTCAATGCAGTCAGTCAAATCAGAAATCTGGGACTTGCTCTCAACTCTTCCCATTACTGAACCTTGGCAAACTGAGCTTTGGGAAATCTCTGCCTTATTCTTTATCTCCATTACTCCTTCCTTGATCACGGCCCCCAAAATTTGCCTCTTGAAGCATTTCAACTCCTATTCCACACTTGCATCATTCTACTCCATCCTGCATAATGCTAGTAGAATGGAGTTTTCTCCGATGTAAATCTAATTTATTTTATTACCTCTACAAGAAATCCCTCTGCTGACAAGATAAAATCCAAATCGATCCTGCTAAGCCCTAGTCCACCCACCTGGTATCTCTTGCAACAACTCTCACCCACCCTCTGTTTGAGCCATCTTGAACTATTTGAAGTACAAACATGCCACTGAGGTTTTAAAATTCCATATTTTTTTGCTGATAAGTGAACAAATTTGGTAAAGGGAAAAGGCAAACTTGTATTCTCCTTTTAAGACTTAGCTTAAGCATTACTGTCCTTTAAGAAGGCTTTCCTGACTCCCCATGTCAACATGCAGCAAAATTCAACAGGCTCAACCACTCCTTCATTTGCACCCTAGGGTACCCAGTGCACTCTTCTTTCACAACACCCGCAATAATCCTATACTCATTCTTTATGTAATTGTCTGTCCTCATTAGACTGAGAGCTTCCTGCAGGACAGGAACTATCACATTCATCTTCCTACCTCTTCATTCAGTACTCTTCCTGGCAGGTAACAGCTGTTTCACAAATTTTGTGGCTTCATGAGCAGTGTTTAAAATGACAACTCCTTACTTACCAAACTGAAACTGTTGGTTGTCCATGAGGCGGATAGATGCAGGAGCACATCTCTATTTTAATAAAAAGAAGAAAATGTGACATAAATTTAATACTGTAGAGAAGCTAGACAGGTAGAATAAAAATGTCATCTTTCTGTATTTGAGATCAAGAGTACAGTTCCTAGGAATATATATAGTAAAAAAAAAATCTTAACTTTTTATATAACTTTAAGATGACAGAACATCAGTGACTTCTATAAAATACCTGGAGGAGAAATCCCCATGTATAATACATACACACATATGTTGCCATATCTTTAATTTGTCTGCAACTAGAACTTCTTAATGCTTAGCAAAGATCTATGGAAGCACCTAAACAAAATATTGGGGCTTGAGGGGGATTATTTTGGAACAAAGAAGAAATTTCAAAGACTAAAATCAATGCCTAGAACACTACACTACTTGTGAATTATAATGTGTCTTCAGGTTCTTATATCATCTTTTAAAATGAAGAAGATGATAGTGGATATACACTTTTAAGATGAAGAAGATGATGGTGGAACTTTTGTGAGTAAAAGCACTTTTAAAAAAAATTATCTGTGATGCCTTCATACACAACTCTAGGAACTCCCCTTTTTATCCCTTCTCATAATCCCATTTAAATAAAAAATTCTGGACATTATCAAACAATGTCCAGAATTCTAAAATCTTTCAAGGTTACTTATATGAAATAGTGACAAAACTCTGAGGGATAACATTACATATCTAAAACTACGCCAGGGTTAAATTCAGTCTAGGCATCACACTAAATGCTATAAGGAACGAAAAATGAGGAGAGCTGATAGCCATATAAATTTTGTGATGCTGAAATACAACACAAACACTAGAAAGGTTTAAGTTAGCTATAATTTTTCCATAACATTAAAGCAAGCTGGACTCCAGAATTTTATTTTCTATGTAAATTTTTAACATGGTTAAAGTTCTACCAAGAGTACTTTCAGATGACAAAATTTTCACATTTATCAATAAAATTTGCATCAACACGACATTAAGATTTATGCAGATCATTCAAGAGAACAAAACTTACTATATAATTGTGCATTTTTGCTACTATTCACTTTTAATTAAATGAATATTTAATTTTATAAAATCACTCACAATACATATTTTATTTCACCCAACAAAATGACTAGATTCTCATTTTGAACACTGCACAATTTATTTACTCACCTTTGACGCTAAAGGTGAGAAAATTCAATCTGTATTTTAAAAAGTCACTGCCAAATCTAAAGAAACAGTACTAGGTAATTTTATATATATAATATAATGATAACCTATGCCTCACTTTTATAGAATCCTGTGATGTCTAACTTATCTTCACATGTCTTATTTAATATAAGAAACAACCCCATCAGGGTAGCAGAACTGGTATTATCCCCATTCTTCAGATGAGTACATAAGAACCAGAGAAGATAAAAGACTTGTCTAAGGTCATAAGACTGCTAAATAGACAAGAGTAAAAGACAGAAGTAGGACCAAGATATACTCTGACTGCTAGAAAAGCAGTATTTCAAATACACCACAAAGCTTCCAAAAAAATGACTTAACACACACCACACACACACACACACAACTTTCAAGTCATATTTGAAATAAAATGTATGTGAAAACTATCTATTCACTATGCAGTTATAAAATAAAAAGTATACAACATGAGTAATTTCAAATCTTGGTATAAAGATACCTTTGTAATTGGGTTACACTTCTAAAAACCAAACTAGTTTCCAAAATACTAAAGAAAAATCAATCTTCCTAAAATGTTCCTAATTTAAGAGGCATATCAACTTTTTCAAAATTTATTTTCATTCTTATTTTTTTAAGTAGGCTCCACGCCCAGCATGGAGTCCAACACAGGGCTTGAACTTAAGACCCTGAGATCAAGACCTTAGCTGAGATCAAGAGTCGGACACTTAACTGACTGAGCCACCCAGGAGCCCCAGGCGTACCAACTTCAAGTAAGACATATGAAGCCTGCTTAGACAAAGTTTCTTTTCTTTGTAAAATAAATAGAATATCATATAATAAACATATTTATGTTTTGGCTTACACACACCAGTAACATATAAGAAAGAATTCAGAGCCCTTCTATCATTATTAGAAAACAAACCTTTTTTTTAAAGATTTTACTTTTAAGTAATGTCAATACCCAACATGGGACTCTAACTCACAACCCGGAGATCAAGAGTCAATGACTAAGCCATCCAGATACACCCCCACCCACAAAAAACAACTTTTAAATTCCTAACAACAACCTGTAACTTCTATCTCCTACTGCTACATAGATTCTACTACTCCTATACCTATAGCAAGTGCTATTAATGAAAACCACCAGCACAGGACACATATACCAGAAAATGGCAGGGAAGTATATTATGTCTAGTACAGCAAATCTGCAGTGGAATTCCATCTCTGAAACAACTAAAATACAACAAATATGCAGGCCTTGATAAAATTTTGATTTGAAAAGACTATCTACAAAATACATCTTGGGTATAACTGAAATTGTTCCAGTTATACCCAAGATGTATTTTGTAGGTATACAGAGGAGCATTACTCTGTTCTTTTAAAGTTTCTATATGCTTAAAACTTTCAAATTAAAAAACTGGAAAACTAAGTAAGCTTCAGGGCACTTGGTACATATAACAACTCATACTCAATAATATTGACCATGATTTTAACCTGACAGCTGAGTCACATAACTAGTCAATCATGTACTATTCCTATTTATAATGAGGCAGGGTAGATGATTACAGACTAACACCTACCACAAAAGAATGAAAAGCTAAAGAAAGTTTATTGTATCTAGATACTAAATATTAGTTTTCAATACTGACTTTTAATAATTTTTTTATTTAATCTGATTATTTAGCTTTATAATAGCTTTATTATTAAAGCTACTATTAAAACAGACTAAATAAATAGCTGTATTTAGTCTGTTTTCATAATGCCATATCTTTTAAAAGTCAGTAAATGAGTTTTTTAGTTATCACAAGTAAAGTCTCATGAGTAAATTCCCATTCTCTCTCTCATAAAATAAATTCTCAAATAAAAAACAGCATCCAGATTGCTTTATGATCCTCTGGCAATTGATCATTTGTAATGACTGTGTATCATTCTAAAAACACAAAGCAAGAAAAGCCTCTTAGAGTTTTACATGAAAACTTGCCACTATAACTAATTAAGTTCCTATAATCAAAAGATCAAAATAATATTACTCTTAAAAAACAACAACAACACCTAATCTGGGTAACTCTACCTATGGTTAAGATCAGGTTATGTTTCAACTGCTATAAAAACCTCATTTGAAAACCTAAAAATATTTCCTTTAAAAGTTAGAGACATCACAAATCCTGAGAATTTGAGCTCTAAACTCATTCCCATGCTATTCAATTATGCTAAGAGTATTCCACAGATGAGGAAAGGGGGAAAAGTGTCCTTGAGTTAAAGTGACCCCTGGTGGTTTGTGGTCAGAACTAACCTGAGAGGAACAGTTATAACAAGTAATTTTATTGGTGGGTTAACAATACTCATTCAGAGATTTTAAGGAACACTCAAACAAAATCTGCTTACCCAAACAGGAGTTAATGAAGTAATTGATATATTTTCTACTATGATAAATGTATTTTTACTAGAATCCCTCATGTCATCTGACTTGTACCCAAGTATACTTTATATTAGTAAATAATCTGAAAAGAGATGAGAAACTCATTATCGACTAATAAGGAAATATCAAATTATCTTTGTTCTATCTGAAAATAAATAAATAACTACATTGACCTGAGAGCTCAAGTGTAGACTGACTCAGTTAAATTGCTGGCAATCTCTTCCCTTTAATGACACTACAACCAGGAATTTACTTGAATATAAAACCTGAAAAATAAAAAACCATCACTGATTAGTCTTATCTACTGAGTAGAATTCTCTACACTAACTTAAAAACCAACAGATTTCTCAATCCAAACATCTTCTCCAAAAAATAATCCCTATAAGAAACACATCAGAAAATTTCTGCAAAATCTGTTTTTATGGAACTAAGTCATATCTCTTTCTTATCACAAAGAAAACCAGAACTTGCATTGTAGATGTGACACATTATTTGTAAAGGTATCTCTTAGTTAACTAGTTACTGGCAAATAAATACTAAAACATTTCAAATGTCAGCAGGATTTCTGCTATTCCAATTTCATAAAGATGAAATATAAAATAAAAGCACTGAATGGTAGCCCTATATCTAAACTACCTTGGTTAACACATGAATCTTCTTTGTATTGAAAAGGCTTGTTTATTCAAGAAGTAAATCAAAACATTCTGTGTAGACTCTAGAACAGCCCAAATTCCTGAACCGTGAGTCTATTTGGGAGATAGTCTAGTAATCTCATACTGTATCAGAAGCCAAAGCTCCAATACCAAACTCCTTGTACCTAACCATACAAAAATTTAAACACCTAAAATTTATTATGATATACACCATCTGTAGTGATTGCTAGAAGCCAGGAACTATGTCTATTTTACTTACACAATATCCAATGTACTTTATTGGATATAAAGTTAAGAGCACACTATCTCAAATACAGATACACACACAAAAAATAAGTTAATAAATAAATTCAAAAAAGGGTATGTGAAGAGAATTCTGTTAATTGCAAATCTCCAGAGAGACAAAACTTAAAATGTAGACAGGTAATTGGTTCTTCCTCAGAGCTGATACCACAGATGAAATCAGACAGCATTTAAGGCTACTGGTATAACTATCAGTCCCACTTGAAGTGACAGCTAGGAGTCCACACTGTAAACAATAAGAATGTTCTTTAACAAAAGAATTAACTCTTGGTTTTAAAGAATGAAACAATACATCTTATAGAGTAGGTATTTCCCTCCATTTATATTAAGGGAAGAGCCAAAAGTTAATGCCAAACAGTCTCTGGTTAGTCATTTTTATTTTTCATTTTCGTAAGGGTGTAATGACTTGTTCTGACTAGCTCCTGGTTGAAAGTAGGCCTTGTAACTATCCTCAAGTTTAATACATTTTGCTGGGTCACAGAGTACAGATTCCAATTAATCAAACATTTGGTGAGGTTATTTACTCTGCTTCAGAGGAAGGAAAGAACATGCATTCATGCGTGTGTGCATGCACACACACACACACACACACACACGCTCATTTAAAATAACAATGCCATTTTCTACATGTAACAAATTATTTCCAAGAATTACCACTGAATATAGAGAAGTTTTAATTATTTTATAATGGAAGTGCTAAACCTAGCTCCTTTTAATTTACTTCAACACCTCCAGGATAAATCAAGTTTAAGACAGAACAATCAGAACTGAGATATAACAGTCTGAGGTGTCAAACATGAACTATGTACTTCTTTCCAAATTATAGTCTAAACTCTCTAGAAAACAACACCGTATCGGTTTAAAATTGCTTGAAATAAAAGTGATGGTAGGTAGATTGGGACACCCCTTGTCAAAAGGGAGAGGAAAAGCTGCCTTTTAATTTATAATTCTAAAAACCTAGTTCTAATACTGAGAAAGACTGTTTTCAGAGGAATGCATACTGATCTGTGCCACACATACAGTCTTTCCCATTAATGGAACAAATGGTCCTCCCTCAATACTACAGGGCAGAACTCATAAGTTTTTACTGGGAAGGGGAAACCCCAGACTTCAAAAATTGCTTTTGAGCTTAGTTCAACATTTTTCCCTTAAAACTTTATAAAGATATCACTGTCATCTTTAAACAGACAATAAGAGAATAATAAAATACACCTGAAACTGATATTCTGATTAAGAAACACTTTCTCCTCTCCTGAGAGGCTACAGAGGGAAATCTATTTTCTCAGAAAATCTTAAAAATCACTTACTTACCCATCTACTGAATTAAGTTGGAGATTATACTGGATTGCCATTTGTAAGATAGAATCACATTAATCTTCCACTAAATCTTCCTTTCTAGTTCCTCACCAGGCAGTGAAGTATTGAAAGAGGACAATCCTCACATGGACAAAGATTAGTTGAGAGACCTTAGTAGAATCCTTCTGCTGTTAGTCTAAAGTTGTTTAATTTATTTCCTTCAGTAGGAAAAGTGATGAAAATATGCAAAGAGCCCACTTTGCTAATTGTAAACAAGCATGTATACGCCTTTCTAAAAGATACATATCCAAAGTATAGTTTCCCATTTCAAAAGCAACTTGAATCTGAAAATACTGCAAAAATGGAAGTACTATGAAATGACAGTGAGAAATTACAAGCAGCCAACTCATTATTCAATCAAGAATTTGGCACAGTCATAAACCATGTACCATCTATTTTAATGGATCTTAATTCTCCTGCTATCAGTTGAAATTCCAAATTGCAAATTGAAGAACTCTTGCCAAAATATGATCATTTTCTCAATTTTTCTGCCTCAGAATACTGTTACAAAGCACTACAGCACACACAGTTCCATTCTTGACCTATGAGATTTATACATTCTGTAAACTGACATGTAAATGTCCCTAAACCATAATACAAGGATTTACCCATTTCCAGGGAAGGTAAACATTAATGCTTATGTGCAGAAGTAAAATACGTATGCTCCACAAACAGCGGAATATCTCCAAACCGCAGTAACTATCCTAATTGTGTCATTCATACAAGCTATTTTTGAGGATAAAATATTATGTATCTAGGCTCTTTAATCAGTTTCAAGCAAGGCAAGCTCTCTAGTTGCATGGTATGTATGTCTTTAAAAACTGTCTACTACTAAGTACACAGAGCCAAATTATTAAAATTGTAGATTAGAAAGGAGCTTTCTTTTGATGTCTTTAACCACAGGGTGGCACTTTATCAACCATCACCTTTGTTTACTTCAAACCATATACCCAATACAATTTTGTGTAGTCAATTTAGATTATGGTCACTGGTGAATATCCCAAAAATTCTTTAAATGAGTAAAAGGGCATTTTACTGACTTATGCAAGGATGAAGGAAAATTTCACCCTCTGCTTTTCATTAGCACAAGCAGTTCTTCTCTGTTACTTTCTACTAGGGGCATATTAAATTGTACCAAAAACCACATCAGATTATAGCAACTATGTTTAAATCCAACATTTCCATTTTAATAAAATTAAAAATTTAGGATTATGATATATTTGTACTTCATTTCTCATTAATGAAACCTAAGATACAAATATTTATAATACGGAAAAGCAGGAAAGCACAAAATATGTCTATCTCTACTTCAAAGATCCCATAACAACACTTTTTGACAAGTCTACTAAATCTGTGTTCTAGAGTTGAGATCTTGTGAAGGGGCAGATTTGGCCAAGTGACCTTAGTGAGATTTTTTGTTGAAAATATATACATACCAGATAGTTTTATAAATTCTATGATTAAAAAAAAATCCAATTTGGCATTCCTGCTTATTTTGCCATTAAAAAAACAGACACAACAATGGCCAGTTAAAAAGATGTCATTCAAACCTTGAACAAGAGAGATAAACTATATCTTTTACCGTAAAGCTTTTTTGGGGAGGGAAATATCAAGCTTGACAGACAGAAAGCAAATAAAAGTACTTAACACAAAGAATAAATTATAATACCAAGTGAAAACACTTTAATAAAAAAACCATTAAGACTGAAATTAATAGGAAAATATAATTTAATTAGGGAAAATGGTCGGTTCTAATTTTTAATTGGTGAACTCAGTTATTTTGTAAACAAAACAAAATAAAAACAAAGAACACAAAAACCTGGCTTTCCACTCTTCTAGGTTTTAACTACCTAGAGCAAAACCATGAGGCTTTGCAAATAGTTCTTTTACTCTTTAACACCTGGGCTATCTTAAATTTGAAATTACTCTCCTTTGCTTCTAAGTGAGAAAGATTTTAGCAACAATATTAAAACACACTTGAACTTTACTGCTCAGTGCTCAGATATTACGTTAGAATAACAAATATTTATTCCTAAAACTTATCTCCACTCCTTTATTCAATAATCCTGCTTTTAAATATTATAAATATTTAATAGTACATGAATTATACATAATATATTAATGATATTTAATAAAAGATGTGCTGATATATATTTATATATTAAAATAATATTTAAATATTATACCATCTCATTATTTTAGCAAACATAGCATAATACTTACTGTGTATTTTAGCTCTCTAACCATAACATAATATCCACAAATTCTAGGAATTACAAACTCTTCTTGTAAAATTTCAAATATTAACATTCGCTTTTGCTTTAACACCACCAAAGTAACCTGCCACAAGTTCAAGAATGTTCACTTCAGGACTATATTTCTTTATTTAAACTCTTCCCCCACCTAGCAGTAAGACAATCGAGATTAAGGGGGCTATGGCTAAGTTTTGTTGAAGGAAGCAATCTGATAAGTAACTGAAGCTACTTAGAAATTATAAAAATTATCTCTGCCAAACATGAGATAGGTGACCATATAGCTGGGAATGTTCTGCAAATGGAAAACCGACAGAAAAAAATGAATGTCTTAGAAAGCAAAACTAAGTGTATGAACTCAAGAACACCGGAAATGGTAAGCGAGTAAATGTAAAATATTTCTGCTAATTTTAATTTCTTTAAACCATTTAAGAGTGGTTGTCTTGGGATGGTGGGAAGATAAGACTCTTGACCACTTTCCATTTCAATACCTTACAAAGGTCTACAACGAATTTGGAATGTCTGCTGGATATCATTCCTTTGCCTCATCAGATCCTCCCTTCACCCTGCTCATGACACCTGGAAGCTGACCTATATGGGTCAGGTCAGAAAGCTCCCTTGCCCTCAAGATTCCAATATATAGCTGATGGGAAGTACTAAAGAACTCTAGGAGTTTGGAGAAAGCAAGAAGAAACAGGCTGGAGTATTATTCCTTGATTTCCTCCCTACTGAGAAATGTGCAATAAAATTTTGTATAAAACCACTGTAGTTCAAACAATGAACCAAATGCCTAAAGAAATGCAAGAATTTTGGGGAGCCTGGGTGGCTCAGTGGGTTAAAGCCTCTGCCTTCAGCTCAGGTCATGATCCCAGGGTCCTGGGATCGAGCCCCCGCATCGGGCTCTCTGCTCAGCAGGGAGCCTGCTTCCTCCTCTCTATCTCTGCCTGACTCTCTGCCTACTTGTGATCTCTGTCAAATAAATAAATAAAATCTTTAAAAAAAAATTATATAAAAAAAGGAAATGCAAGAATTTCTACAATGACACATAGAGAATAGAAATAAAATTACATGGCATTACCTGGTCTTTTAAAAATCCTCAATAATGCATCTTTTTTTTTTAAGAAGGAAAGAGAAAATGGGAAGTCTTCTTAACTTACAGCTAAGTATATTGTGTTATATTATGCTATATTATGTTATTTAATTCAAACTATAGCTTAGGTAGTATTATAAAACAAAGTAGGGCCTAGTAGTAGCACATTCTAAGAACTGAGAAAGTTTGATATACTATACTTGTTTTTTTATCCTTGACATTCAGCCATTATTTTAACTTCGATACTGTCTTAGTTTAAGAAAAATTATACTTCAAATTAATCACAAAATGTCCTACCTAAAAATAATTTAAGAAAATACAACATTCATTAAAGGCAGAGTCATTCAAAGCCATCAACCCAAGTACACACCTTACCTTGGCTTAAAATCACACAGCACTCTTTAAACCAAAATACAAAGAAATAACTGCACTTATAGGGATGATTTTACATTACCTTTTCATAGAGAACTGGGCAAAAACCACATATATAACACAACTAAATATGAAATTATCTGTGACATATCAAAATCAATTATGCAGTAGAATTTTTGAAATATAAATATAGATGGGTGGGTTTTTGTTGTTGTTGTTGTTTTTACCTGTTTTGCAATTTCTCTTAAACAGGCTACTCCTTGTTCAAAATTAGGGAAAGCTACTGAGCCATACTTTTGGTATTCAGGGATTGGTCTGATTTTTATTGTAGCTTCTGTTATCACACCAAGAGTTCCTGAAAAAGAAGGGGGAATAATCCAATATATCACATGCCAATTTTCTAAATCATATTTAAATCTATTTTATCTATTTATTCTATTAATTTATTCTATTCATATTTAAATCTATTTATTCTATGTGGGGAATAATGGCTACTCCAGTCTTTTTAGAAAAATAACTAAACAAATTTTATATTTTCTAAAAAAAAAGGTTTTGGATACATTTTCTTATGTTATGTATAAATACTTAAAAACATTTTTAAGGTAACCTTCCTACAAGAAGGTTACTTTTAAATAGTTTTTAAAGTATTACAACCTATTAAAAGAAAAAAATTTTTAAAAACAACAGGTTTGTATACCTCAAACACTCAGACAAAAGTATATTTTGATATTTGTGCCTACTTTCACTGTGAGAAAAATTTGCTGGGGCAAAAAGAAAATTCTATGAGAATTTAAAAATGATAGAAGAAATCAGAGGGACTATTATTACTCTGCCTTTTTGCCTAGGAATTCATACAAAGACAATGGCAATACTAAGATGCCCTTGTAAGACACAAAAAAACCCAGATATTTCAGAGACAGAGTAGTTGCCATAAACACCTAGTACAAGAGAACCACCAAAGAAACAAATGCTCTTTCCTTATGTGGAAATTTCCTCCTTACATGGAGGAGAGACAAACCAAAGAGGAGAAAAGCAAGTTAAATATAAACTACATTCTATGAGATCTAAATAACTATGCTAAAATATCTGAAGAGACATGGTTAAAATGATTATATTCACAAAGCCAAGCTTTTCAAATTAGTGGTTTCTGATGTACAAATGGTAGAAATTATTAATACTATTAGTAAATTTTCTGAGAATGATGTAAAAAAGAATCAAGAAAGAGGGAAATCTCTGAATTGGAGAACTTAATGATAACAACAGAAATAAATAAAAAGTATCACAAAAATCAAAGCTCCCAGTAAATTTATAATACACCCAAAATGTCAATACAGGATACAAGATTAAAAACTAAGAGTTCATTAAAAAGTAAATTACATTAGATCACAGTATGCTCATCACATATACAAATGATTGCCTACCAAGATATCAAATATGATCCTATTATAATTTTTAAATCACAAAAACTCTGCAAGTCTGGCCCAATTAGTATTTAAATAAAAAGTAAATATATCTTGTAAATTTTAAAAGATCACAAAAGTGACTAAGGGTTTATCTTTTATTTCAGCATCTTTATTGAAATATAATTCACAAACCATAAATTTCACCCATTTAAAGGGTAAAACTCAGTATGTTTTCAGTATAATCACAGATATATGCAACTATCATCAAAATCTAAGCTTAGGGGGCACCCAGGTGGCTCAGTTGGTTAAGCAACCAACTCTTGATTTCAGCTCAGGTCATGATCTCCGAGTCATGGGATCAAGCCCTGTGTTGGGCTCTATGCTCAGTGCGGAGTCTGCTTGTCTATCTCCCTCTTCTCCTTACTGCCCCCCCCACCCCAGCTCTCTCTCTCAAATAAATAAATAAAATCTTAAAAAAAAAAATTCTAAGTCTAGAACATTTTTAATACCCCCCAAAAGAAACCCTGTACCCATGAAATAGCCATTCTCCATTTCCCCACACATACACTTCAGCCCTAGACAATCATTAATCTCGTAAATCTCTATAAATCTATAAATCTCTAGAAGTCTCTACAAATCTATAAATCTCGTAAAATCTCTATAAATTTGCCTATTCCGGACATTTCATATAAATGGAATTTTACAATGTGACTGGCTTCTGTTTTCGAGGTTTATCCCTATTATAGCATGTATTAGTACTTATTCTTTTTTAATTGTGGACTATTACTCCATTGTATATATAACTCATTTTGTTCATCTATTCATTAGTCAATGGACATTTGGGTTTCCACATTTTTTTAAAATATAAAGCGCACACACACACACACACACACACACACACGATGCATAGGGCAAAGTATGGGGGAGGGTCTCAGAGTTCCTATGCCCTCTGCAGATGCACCACCCTCCCAGCACCTCCATGTGTTCACCATCCTGCAAGCTCCCTGAAACCCACATTTTAGTGATTTTTATGGAGGCTTCAATACATGGACATGATTGATTAAACCACTAATTCAATGTCCAGTCCCTCTCCCCTCTCTAGAGCTGAAAGTTCCATAGGTTTCCACATTTTGGCTACTTCATATGAATAATGCTACTGAGAATATACATGTAAATTTATATACATATTTTTGTGTGGATGTATGTCTTCCTTTCTCTGGAATATACATGAAGACTTTTTTAATTTTAGAAAAACCTCTGGTCCTAGTCCACATTACCCTACTCTCAGCCACCTTTTCCTAAGGCTACATTCTGGGCAAGTACCACCAAAAGATTAGGGGAATGGGAAGGAAGTTAGTTCCCTTCTTGTACCCACCTGGTGGGACAGAGGCTCTACTGGAGTGACACACTAATAATAGGGTCCCAACTGCCTTTAGCCTGGCTTGTAAGAGATGGCATCTTGCCAGGAGAAGCAAACCAAGAAAATCTGTTTTCCTTTCCCCTTTTCCCTAGCACTCAGCTACCAAAGTAGGGATGTCCTCAGAGAAAAGCATGCCATTGCTCCCCTCCGCTCCCTCCTGAGCCATGCTCAGAGACTCAGAAGCTCAGAGACTCAAGCTCAGAGACTTGGTCTCAAGGGGCTGAGGAGGGAGGTGGGGAAGGGAATACAAGCCAAAAAAACAGTTCCTAATCTTTCTAAAGAAAATTATTTTGTTTGCAACAAATAGAGCATGGAAAAGTTCAAGCCTAAGAGCACTCTCAAAACAGTGGAGGATGTGGTAAAAGGCAACTGGGAGGACATAGGTAAATTTATTGTAGATAAAGGCAACACCGTATGCCAGTTAGCTTGCTTATATAGAAACAGTGCGCAGGATGCCAAATATGCCTCAAGACGCCAAATATGCTCAGAAAAGAATCCCAAACACTAACCTCAGGAATTATCCCTTCTAAGAGATACACTTACAATGGGTGAATTTTACAGCATGTGAATTATATTTCAATGAAGCTATTAAAAAATAACCATGATAATTAATTCTCTAAACGAATTACAAATGAAACTTCAGAGTTTTTTTTTTAATAAGGAGCTAACAGTTATACATTGTGCAAATTGGAAAATTTGTATTTATACTATAAAAGTATCTTATGCTATAAAAGGCACCTAAAAGAACTTATATAAGTATCTTATGCTATAAAAGGCACCTAAAAGAACTTCTAAACCTTTGCCAGAGAAGAGGCAAAAGGCTGACAAGTAAACTACTAGTATTACGATGTCCCCTCATCCACCAGTACAGAATTATTTACCACACTTGTTCGTTCCTATCAATACAAGTGGTATCACTTTAATTTTTAAAGTTGCTAATTTTCCTACCACTATACTGACAGTACCACTAAGCTTATTTGTAATTCTTTCAAACCTTTTTACATTTATAGAAGCTCCTGGTAGCCTTGGAATTAACACCTCATGTTAAATGTCCTTTCTACAAACGAACTGAAATTTGATAGGCATATAATCCTAAACACAGGAATCATCTCTATTTAACTAATCTGACCACAGATTACAGAACACTTTAATAAATACTTGCTGAAACTCAAAAGTCACCAGATTGAAATCCATTAAGAAAAAGGTCAGAATAAGCGATGACTGCAGACGGGAACACTTTTCTTCTTAAAACTAAACTCCAAGTTCCCAGGTTTTTGTGAAATCTTTCCTTAACATCTGAGAAATGGAGTCATTTGAAAATCCTTCTTTGAATTAAAGCATATAATATTATCTAATACAACTTAAATATATTCCAGGAAAAAGCTGGAAACCATTTAAATGCCAATCAATGAGGGTCTGGCTAGTGTACAGTCAGTAGCTGTCAAAAAGAATGAAGTGGCTCTAAACGTAATAATATGGAGTAAGCTTTACAAAAAGAAGTGTGAGCAGAGTAGTAAAATCCTGTTTGTGCTTTTAAAAGAGCATACATACACACTTAAAATAGCACAAAGTGTTTACTGTGAACAAAGGAAATGCTCTGAAGAAGGGATAGAAGCAGATTTCCCATTATACATCCTTAAAACCTTTTGAATTTTGTACATCTGTCCATATTTTAATTTTGTGCATGTAATTACTATATTCAAAAAGTTTATTTTAAAATATATATACCTTTACATTAGCAAACTTCTTTTAAAATTCTAATTCTACAGTGGAAAGTGACCATGCCTTAAACTTCTGCCTACCTGTATTGCTTCCTATGTAGAGTAGGCACTCTCAAGTAATAAAACCCACCATAACATTATAAGTGAGGTAAAAAAAAAAAAAAAAAAAAAAAAAAAAAAAATTGTAAAGTGAAACTGCATTATCACAAGGTTAATGAAATGCCCAAACCAAGTCTCTGCAACTATCCAGCTATGTGTCTACAGGGGGTCCCACTGTGAAAGCAAAGTCACCCAGGTCTCAGAGAGCAGCTTCCATTCAACTTCCATTCAAATTAGCCCATCACAAATGGATATATCTAAATTCACTCAATCAAATGGCTCATTTCTGTTGTGTTTTATTATATTTAATAATTCTTTTGCTTTGGGAATGTCATGCCAGTGGAATGATATAAAAGACTTGAATTATTATACCTTGAATATATGTACATTATATCACTTTATACCCTTATATTTTAAATCTACTTTATATAACTGCTTATAAATAATTCCATGGCAATATGACATCACAGAGGCTTATACATCATTCACTTTTCTGTTTCATCAAAACTACACTACAATAAATTTAAGAATTTTCTAATCTATAATTTTCAAATACAATGTTTCTTCTCAAGAAAACTGAAAGCTTCACCTGCTATTTGATATAAAATGCAAGTATTTGCTTAAAGCAAATAAATTCTTTTGTAATTTAACAATATACTTTCAGGTGACTTCAGGACTAAGAAGAATGTAAGTCATTTGACTCTGAATCTTCCCCCTCTCTCTCTACCTTCCCCCACCCCAAAACATAAAAATCAACAAGAAACAGAAAACCACAAATAATACTGAAATAAAACTTTCACCATTACTAGGAGACAAAGAACCACTCTGACCTTCACATTACTTGTTAAATAGAGATAAAAAGAAAAAATTCCGAAAGACCTACTATAGCCTTCTGCTGCAAGTTTCTAAGGGTAGAAAGTAAGGGGAGGCTTAAAAGATTTTATATGGAAAAACAAAGAGTATCTGAGGACCTGGAGAAAGCAAAGACAAAATCAACCACAGACACCAAAAGTGCAACAATAACACCAAAATCCTGTACAGGGAAATCCATAGCCCTGGCTATGGGGAGGGGTCTGAAAATGGGAAGAACTAGAAAGGCATCCTTAGAGAGACAAGAGGAGTATTTTCAGAGGAGCATTATATTCAGAGAAGTGTTGTACTCCTTGGAGACTAAGTAATGATGGGAAAGAATGAAGTAAGAGAGGGAAATTAAAGATCCTATAGAAATAAAAAAGAAGACATGCCATGCCTTCTCCCACCAAAATACCACCATCCACAAAACAAGTAGCACAAGAGAGGGAAGTAGCACAGGAAAGGACATTCCCAAACTAGGAAACACTTTCCAAGTAATAAATAGCAATAGAAAAAAGCAGACCAAATCCACAAAAACTACTAGAAAAAGACAAAATGTAAATAAAAGCTTTTCTGATCATGAAAAGTCTCTCTCCTAAACCAACCATGATCCTGTAAAGAAAACAGTAATAAACATCTCAAACTGAATTAAATATTGTCAAGCAAGCCTTTGGGGATATTAAAAATAAAAAAACAAAACCTGAATCAGAAATACAATCATCAAAAGTCGGCAAAAGACAAGAAGAAATGAAATGAGAGATGACTAATGTCAGGAAAGAAAAAGAGCAGCAACAACAATAAAATGACATATAAAAAATGAAGGCTAAGTTATAAGGTATCCAAAGGAGAATAGAGAATAGATTCAAATGAAGAATTGATAAAGGGCACTGAAGAAGAGCAGGAAAATAATGAAGGGAATGAAAATGAAATAAAGAAAAAAGCTGGGGAATAAAAAAGGGTTAGTCACTCCCTGAAATGCCAAACAAACACTGTCAAGCATAGTATAATTGGTGTCCCTGAAGAAGAAAAATCAAAACAAAGGTGGGGGGGAACCCCTAATATTTAACAGTAGATCCAAAAAAACTTTCCAGAAAGAATAAAAGATATAAATGTAAACATAGAAAGGGTCCATTGGGTGCCATTTTAAACAACACAGAACAATCAACTCTGAGCTATAAAAGTAGTAGACTTCAATAATTAAAAAATCCTCAGGACACTCAGGCAAAAAGATGGAAACAATCCACAAAGGCAAAATAACTAGCATTAGATTTCTTTAAAGCAACATATAAAACCAAGCAACACTGGAGCAGCATTTTCAAGAATGAAGGAAACAAAGTGCAACCCATGGACATTATAACCACTCAAGCTGTCTTACAAGTGTCAAGGTCATACAAAAGGTAAAATTACACAAAGGGACTGATAATAAGCATTTCACTTATTTCAACATAGAGCAAAGACGAAAACAAGGGTGGGTCATAGGCTTAAAAAAATAAAAATGTAGTTTTAACCATTTTTCAAATGAAAGAACGAATTATTTTGAGTTACTAGTAAATTTCATATACAAGAAAAGATGTAAAGCATTTCAGAGGCTTTGACTATTATAGTGTCTAAAAGGGAAGGAAGCTGCTAATTGAAAAAAATCATTACAAAAAATTCGTAACACAAGATAAAAACACTAAATTCAACATGGTTAGTCACATGTAGAACTTAGTAGGATCAGAAAAATACATTCTAGGGGCACCTGGGTGGCTCAGTGGGTTAAGCCTCTGCCTTCAGCTCAGGTCATGATCTCAGGGTCCTGGGATCGAGCCCCACATTGGGCTCTCTGCTCAGAGGGAAGCCTGCTTCCCCCTCTCTCTGTCTCTGCCTGCCTCTCTGCCTACTTGTGATCTCTATCTGTCAAATAAATAAATAAAATCTTTGGAAAAAAAAAAAGAAAAAAGAAAAATGCATCCTTTAATGATAATGCTTTCAAGGCTATCATGAGATAATTTTAACTATAGCAAAAAAAAAAATTTTTTTAACTTGAAGAAAAGTATATGATTCACATTTAAGGCAGAAGGTAATTATTAGATGGCTCAAGACAACAGATAAAAATACATATTATGAAAGAATATGAACTTGTTGTGATATACAGAAGTGCTGAATCACTATACTATACTATACTCCTGAAACTAGTATTATATTGTATGCTAACTAGAATTTAAAAACGTAAAAAAAAAATAAAATTCTGAAGTAAAAAATAAAATAAAAAAGAATACGATTTCATATAAATTAACTTTCTCAATCATGCTGTCTCCCAGCCTGCATTAAGATGACTCTATATCCACATACTGAGATGGGGATTAAGGACTATACTTGTATAGACTATACTTGTAAAGACCACTGATGCCAAAATAATAAATAGCAACAACAGTAATAAACTTAACATTTGTTGAGTATTTACTAAATGCTTATAGACTGCTTATCATAATCTCATTTAACCCTCACAAAAGCTTATGAAAATGGTTTCTTTTTATTATCCTCATTCTATAGCTGAGAACACTGGCATAGAAAATTACCTAATTTACACAAAGTCCCGGAAATTTATGTGGTGGAATCAGGACTGAAATCCAGATCTGAAAGATTTCATCATCATGCTCCTAAATCATTTTACATATATGTGTATAATAAAATCTCATTTAAATACAGTAATTTGCCCTAGTATATGTTTAATAAATCATATTTCTTTGCTTCCTCTATTATGAGTTTACCTTCCTTAAATTCAGAAAATAATTTATTATTGAGAGAGGTAGTCTAGTCATTTAGATACAGTTTAAAACTATTTTAAAAGACATAAAAGACCAAATTCTCTCTCCAGTTACCCTGTAACCCTTACCACTCTACCCTAGACCAGCTGCCTACTACACTCTTATAGCTAAATCTTATGTTCCTGTTATACTGAAAACCCGGCAGCTTCACCACGCAGAGACGGCTCTTTTCACTTTAAGTCTGCCCACCTGCAGTTCTCTCTGCAGGGCAACTCCCTCACCACCTTATTCCATCAACTCCTACCAACCTTCAGGGACCACTTTAGGCATGGCCCCTCTGAAGAGGTCTTCTTAAGCACCCATTAATATGAACTTTGTCTGTATTTCTCCTCCATTTACTTCTAATCATACAATTTATCATACTATATTATAAAGGTCAATTGTTACCTGTGTCCCTTCAGTGTGCCAGAACAGTACCTAGCACCAAAAAATTTTAAAATACTAAGCGAAGGGAGAAAAAAATGTCTGATATAGTTACTTAAAAAGATCATTTATATTTACAGAGTTGACTCCAACTATGTATGCACCAAGAGTATAATTAATAACTCTCAGTTTTAATACCTATTTGTTACTCAATTTGACACCAGGTGGCAAAAGTTTATATATCTTAGTTTACTTTTGGATGATGTGTTAGTATTAGAAGTTGCAGAATATTTACCAAAGAACTATATTATTTTAAGGGAATTTAACATTTTCCTCATAAAAATGTAGTTCTGTTTTTCCACAGAAGACTATACTGATCAGAAAAGAAATAAGAAAGTAAACTGGTGAAACATCTTGACAAAGTTTATCATTGATTATCATGAAAAAATATTTAAGCTATATCACTGCTCATCAAATCAACAGTTGACCTCTAACATGTCACTGAGACATAGTTTGTTGTATTTTCCCTCCTTGATGTTTCTATCAAAAGACAGGATTGATGTCCTATCATCCTAGTTTATTATAATTGCTCTCTCATCCATGAATACAGCTAAACATTTCAAAATCTCTTTTTTAGCTTGTACCATCTTCTAAATTGGTAATGAGTTCCTCCACTAAGTTAGAGACACTTGTTTTATCTTATTTCTCTGAATTTAAGGGATATCCCTCTCTACTATTCTAAGAATTAAAAAACACGACTATGTTCATCTTATCCATAACATTTACTGCAGAACAGTTAGTTTGCAAAATAGAAGGTCAGTTTTTTCCTGATCAGTACAGCAATTAAATGTGAGATAAAGAACTACATTTTAATCAACCCAGAGTTAAGTAACCAAGCAAAGAATAGTAAATAGTTAAAAAAAAAAAAAGTACAACATACGTTTTAAAAGATATATAAATCAACAGGATTTTAAATTCCACTTCTTCAAAGAATCAAATAGCAAGTAATAAAAAGTACAACTACAGAAAGCCAAGACACTAAGACAATACTTTCTCAGCTCTTCCCCACTGAGAAGTCAGGCAAGGTTAGAGAATACTATTATATATAAAATTTTAAAGCAAACCATTTTAAATCTTAACAACTACTCTTCCTAAAAAACTGTAAAACAAAAATAAAATACCAAAAAGGCTAACTTATCTCTAAAACTATAAAAAAACCAAAATGTAAAAGGACATTTAATAAGATGTTCTCATAATAAAAACTTTATGAAGTACTTAAAGTAATAAAACAAAAAAAATCACAATTCTTTAAATATATAAAACGTGTCTTTCTTTCAAAGATCTTATATCACAATATCACAGATTTTCACAAAACTGAGTCACTAACCTGTAATTTTTTGTAATAAATTTAGTTATATTTACCTTCAGATCCCATGATGAAGTGATGGATATCAGGGCCTGTTGACATACGAGGTCCTTGACAGCTTTTTTCTATTATGCCTCTAGGTGTTACCATTTTTATATGAACCACCTGTTTAATACAATGCATGATGTAAAGTCTACATATTTGTCAGTGAATGTTGTGCATGTGTGTACACACAACCATCTATATTTATAAAAAACTCTACTTTAAAAAAAAACTCTACTTTTAAAATAATAGATTAAGTGATAGATGGTGACACCCTTCAGAATTCTAATATCTTTTAATAATTCTTAGACTAAAAATAAATTTTATATAACTTTAAAAGAAGAAAAAATCATTCTAAGATTGTTACTGATTTGGGTATGTTCATCACCTTAAAAAAACGAAAAGCACTTTTCTTTAAACCAAATTTAGTCTAGGATTATCCATGTGGCAAAAAACTAAAGGACGAAAAAAATAATGATCATATTTTAATAGGTTCATTCTTTCACTTAATTTTGAATGAAGCACTATTAATCACATCAAGCTGCTTCAATGCTTAGAATTCTAAGAAAAAATTTACTCTTGCCTTATTCCCACCCTCAATTTATCTACTTTGCTCACTTAGTAGAAAAGAATGAAAAGAATGAAGTATTAATTATAATCAGGTAAAAAATGGGATGAAGAGGGAGATGTAGTGATTGAACTGAAAAGAAGAAAAGATAGATGCATGTGATACAAGTCTCACACAAGTGAGAATGTAAGCATACTCGAGGGAGAGGGTCACTCGAAAATAGTTCCTGAAATTTAAATCAGGAAATGGTTAGGTGAAAATCCAACACATTTTTACAACAGCTTCTTGACCGATAAACAAAAATAGTCTATTTATTATTTAAGGAAATGAGCAGAGGACATCAATAAACAATTCACAAAATAGAAACCAAAAATCACCAAGACATTTTAAAAGGATACATTCACTAGCAATTAAAGAAATAAAAAAATGAAAAAGACAAAAATATAAATAAAGGGTCCAGTGAAAGAAATATTCTCATAGTGCTAGTGGGAATGCCAATTGGCACAAATTTCTATGAAACATTTTGGCGATAAAAATTCAAAGACTTAAAAAACATATAAAAATGTCTTGATTCAACAATTCAAGCCTTAGGAACTTCCCCAAAGTGATTAAAGATGTATACCAAAGAAATTACTAAAGAAGATATTTTCCTCTTTGTTTCCTACAATTTTGAAATCAAGAATAACTTAAAATATTCACTAATTGGGAATTACTTTAATAAACCATGAATTACCAGTAAAAGAGAATTATACACAGTCTAAAAATGATAGTGTATAAATACATTTGTCTTTGTTCTTTTACAAGTTAATATATTGATAACATAGTCTAAAGAGATTAAATACAGCATGATCCTATTTTGTATCAAAAGCTAGATACACACATGCAAATAAGCACATTAGGATATATGCTTATAATCTGTGGTCCTTAAGGCTCTCCAAAAAAGGGATAAAATAAATTACATGCTTTAGCAGTAAAAATGTAGCAGTCTATCACATGTTAACTATGATAAGGTTTTTAATAATCCAATAGTAAAAGGATCAAATTCTCTCCTCTGAAATTGGATGTTATTTTATTTGCAAAAGGAAAAATGTGATTTCTAAAATATCCTCAATTAAAAAAAAAACAGGATGTGAACATTTTAAGTGTTTATAATATACACTTATAATAATTCCATGCAGTGAATATCATTATTCTACTTTACAGAAGAGGAAAGAAGTTTAGAAAGGTGAGCCAATTTGTACAAGGTCACACAACTAATCACTGGAAAAGCTACACATGGAACAAATGATATCTAATCCCTAGTCAGAATGCTCACAGTTATACTATTACCACACTAACTCCCAGAACACTAGCACCAGATCAGCTAAAATAAAATGGTGTGTACATAAACCACTACAGGTCATATTGCCACCTACTAGAACCTTTTCAATCAGGCTAATTCCATAGAGAAAAAAATTTTTTAAGAGAAGTAAGTATAAACTCTCCAAGGCAAGAGTGGCAATGATGAGATCATCTAAATAAATGGACTAAAACCTTGGTGGACTTGAGACTGAGGCTCCATGAGGCTTATAAAATAATGTTTATATATTTTATAAGTCAGATAATATGAAGCATCTATAAAGTTGAAATATCAGTCACTTGAAAAGGAGCACCTGTAAATAATGACCCCAGTGGTCTTTAAACTGCTTCTATTACACACAGTCAACTTCGTTATAATCAAAAGGGGTATACTTTTGAGAAGACGCTACCATACAACTCTAAAAAAGGCTTTAATCATTTTATAGTAATATACTAATCAATTATAACATAGTAACCAGAAAAAAATTTACCAGGTCCTCAATATTGCCATAGATATTCTTCTTCATGCCCGATGCCCGAGTAGAAACCCATCCTCCCACGGTGCTGAATTCCAGTGAATCTGGTTCATGACCTGTACAATAACCACTTTCTTTAAGCTGAAAAACAAAAAATGTAGTATTTTACTAGTGAAAATCGAACTATTTCATATAGCATTCAACACATTAATTTTTTTTCAGTGTTCCAAGATTCACTATTTATGCACCACACCCAGTGCTCCATGCAATCCATGCCCTCCTTAATACCCACCACCAGGTTTGCCCGCGTGCCCACTCCCCTCCCCTCCAAAACCCTCAGTTTGTTTCTCAGAGTCCACAGTCTCTCATGCTTCACACTTTAAAATTTCCATATGTCACTGGTATCTGGACTCATTAAAACCCATATAAAAAAAAGAAGTACTTTTATCATGCTCATCCAAAAAATTTTTTAAGCTTTTGCCCAGTGGAAAACTTTATAAAACTGAAAAATGTGGACCAAAAGACGTACTTGCTAGCCAATCTTATTCCTTTCATCCTTTTAAAGTAAAACCAACTACGTCCCTACTTTTTTTTTTTTAACCACAAAGAGATAATTTAAATACTTACGGAGATCAGATTATGTTTAAATAACTGCCAACTTCACCTAAACACTTTCAATAAATAAAGCACTTAATCTCTTGTTTTCCCTACCCTAACATAATATGCAGCAGGCCTGCAGAAAATCTAAGCAAATTGCCTGTACTTAATTCTCTCAAGGAGTCATGTGTTTTAATGTACAGCCATCTGGCTAGGTTTCCTGCATGTAATACCGTCATTTATTTGTGATGCAGATCATGCATTCCTGTACATTAAATAGTCACTTGTTTCTCATTTTTCTATATTAGCTTGGCTTTGCCATCTGCACAGCACCTGAAGTTGAATGGATGCCCTTTACTGCAACACCACCAAAGCCATTCCACTGAAATCATTTTAAAGACTCAGGCATCTCATGTCAAATGGTACAGACACCACCATCTGCACACTCACTGTCTACTGCACTCAAGCCCATCAATCTGTATTGACCATTTTGATAGTCATCCAGTTAAGCAACTGCTTCTATTTTTCAAGTAAGCCATGCAGAGATGTAGAATATGTCAGCTATGTTTGTAACTGTAAGTATGGTGTAAAAGTTGTGATCCAAACTGAGAGAACTTAATAAGTTAAACATAATTTGTTAGCTTTTGCACATAAGCATGGCAAATTATTATCTTTTCTAACATTTTTGCTAGAAAAACAGAATTTAAAAAGGTATCAATTATTAATAATAAATTTCACTAAATATTCAAGGTGTTTAATTTTAAGAAATTACTAACTACTCACAAAGAAGTAGCTTAAATATATGAATGAACAATTTAAAATGAAGATCATCAAATTGCTATTTTATAGTTCTTCCTTAACTCCCAATCTATATTCATATTATTTACTCTCAAGAAAGACTACTGTTACTCAATTTTTCTGAAATTAGCAGAAAAAGGAAAAACAATAGAGCACTTAGATATCCTAAGCACTAAACAGTGAGTTTTCATATATTCTGATGACAAAATCTCCACATTACCTACACCAAAGCAAATTAAATCTAAACTACTTCTGTAAATATATCCAATGTTACATATAATTTGCCTCTTATGCCTATAGGTTTACTTCATTACCTTCCTCAATTATAAAGTGGCTACCACAAGCCAGGAATTATGTAAAACAATGAAAATGAGGATATAAAAAGAATGGGGGAAAAAAAAGACAGTCTCTATGCTCAAGGACCTCGACTTAGCACACCATTTTAAATCTACTACTTTGTTAAAATCTGACTAACTTCTTACTAGGTAAGTGAAGTAAGTGTAATGGTTAAGAACCTGAACTTGAAACTTGCCATTTATGCTTGCTAGAAAATCTGCATGTTACAGTACACTCATTAATAGGAAACAATTTTTGGCATATGGTTGGGTGCTTAATAAATGGTATCTATGACCACATACATTCAGCTACTTTTTCTTCTAAAGGCTGTGTTTTGTTTTTGTTTTTAAGATTTTATTTATTTATTTGAGAGAGAGTGAGAGAGCACAAGAGTTGGGTAAGAGGCAGAGGGAGAAGCAGACTCCCCATTGAACAGGGAGCCCGATGTGGGGTTTGATCCTGGGAGTCTGGGATCAGGACCTTAGCCCAAGGCAGATGTTTAAATTAACCAACTGAGCCACTCAGACACCACTTGCTGTGTCTTTGTTAATGCCATTAGCTGCTGGAAAATCTGGACAAAGGTTTACAGATTTAACTCATATAGTTAATCAAATATCCTTTTTTAATAAAATAAAATAACCTCTCCTCTCCGTCTGTATCCCATAAAACAGAATAAGAAATTTATCTTACTCATTTCTGTACTCCCATTCAATATTAAAGCAACAAATACTTACTATGTTCTAGGCATGAGACACATCACTAAGAGCAAATTCTAAATTGCAGAACTTGTTATTATATAGAAAGAGAAGGAACTGAACTTAACAAGAAACATAATTAAATAAATACAGAACAATTAGAAGTATAAAGGAAAAAATTAAAAGTGCAGCAGAGACATTCACCCAAGTTCAAGTAAAAGGAACTAGATTTATCCTCTCACATGAAAAAAAAAAAAAAACCTGAAAAAATAGAAGATACAAAAGTCTTTAAATAACTGGACATGCAGTAACAAAGGGCTGTGATCCCTTGAAAAAGCAAACAAACGAAGTGAATACTATGAATGCCCCTTGCTTATGCTCCAGATGGTGATACAGGGAAAGAGAATCCAAGCACAACTCTGGCAAACACTATGTGTGAGGTAAGGAGACTGAGTCTGAAGTTGTGGGAAACCAAAGCATATAAAATTCACAAGAGAAAGTACTGAAGAGAAGAGAGCAGCAAAGAGAGAAAACCCTGGAGATTGGCAGAGGGTCCCCTTTAAAGTAGTCAGCAGAGTAATGAAAAGTACATTTAAGTGAGGAAACTACCCAGGATGAGAGTTAAAAACAATGCAAAGGATTAGAGAAAAGTACTAGCACTCATACAGGGCCAGAAATCTGTTCCCACCAGCCTGACTTGGAAAATTTTTCCTTCACAAAGCATGAGATAGAACACCCAAGATGGTCATTCCTCAGTAATGAGAAATGATTAGTTTTAAGACTGAGCACTGCTTCTGAACCCACCTAAAAGATCGCAGAAGCAAGAACTAAAGAATCAAACTATATCCAAATATCTATATCCCAGAAAAAAAAGCTCAAGAATATTTATAGAACTGAAAAACATCCAAGACCTAACAAGATGATATTCACAATGTCTGGTACTTAATAAAAAATTGCCAGGATGCCTGGGTGGCTCAGTGGGTTAAAGGCTCTGCCTTCGGCTCAGGTCATGATCTCAAGGTCCTGGGATCGAGCCCCACATCGGGCTCTCTGCTCAGCAGGGAGCCTGCTTCCCCCACTCTCTCTGCCTGCTTCTCTACCTACTTGTGATCTCTCTCTCTCTCTCTGTCAAATAAATAAATAAAATCTTAAAAAAAAAATTGCCAAGTGTACAGGAAGCAAGAAAACACAACCCATAATGAGGAAAACAATATTATGAGGTAAATAATCAAAACCAACCCAGAACTAACACAGATGTTAGAATTAGCTGACCAGGACATTAAAACAGTTACTTAACTGTATTCCATACGTTCAGAGTAGAGACACAGAAAATATAGAAAGACCCAAATTAAATATCTAGAAAAGTAAGAAATACAATGTTTGAGATAAAAAATACACTTAGTGGGGTTAAGAGCAGAATATATTCAGCAAATAAAAGATTCGTGAACTCCAAGACGTAGCAAAAGAAACTGAAGAAAAAAATGAGAAGAGCAGCAGTAAGCTGTAGAACTTCAAAGAGCCTAATATATAAGTAAACAGAGTCCCTAAAAGTCAGGTGGGGGAGGGAGAGTCAGATAATTGAAGAAATAATAGCCCCAAATTTTCCAAACGTGATGAAAAGTATAATCGCACAAATAAAAGAAGCTCAACAAAGCCCCAGTGTAAGAAATACAGACACAAAAAAAACCCTACACCAGGGTCTATCACAATCACATAACTCAAAGCAGTTATAAGAAAATCTTAAAAGCAAAACAGAGGGCAAAAAAACCCACAGAATGTACAAAGGGACAAAGATAAATTTCTAGCCAGAAACACTAAAGTGAGATAACAGTGAAGCATCATCTTTATATTACTGAAAGAAAAACACTATCAACTTATCATTCTATACTCAGTTAAAATACCTTTGAAAAAAACAGAAAAGTAACCTTGAACTATTAAGCAATTAAAGCAAGACGGCAGGACACATGATTAATATACAAAATTCAATTGCTTTCCAATATACCAACAAGCAACAAGTGGAATTTAAAAATAAAAACATAATGCCATTTACATTAGGCCCACCAAAATGAAATACTTAGGTATAAATCTAACAGATACATTACAAAATCTATAAAGAAAAGTCAAAGTTTTAAATAAATGGAGAGATATATTCCATGTTTATGGAAGACTCAATATTATCATGATGTCAGTCCTTCCCAAATTGATCTACAGATTCCGTGTAACAAACCCCATCAAAATCTCAACAAGGTATTTACAGATATTAACTGATTCTAAAGTCTATATGGATGGGCGCCTGGGTGGCTCAGCGGGGTAAGCAACTGCCTTCGGCTCAGGTCATGATCCCAGGGTTCTGAGATTGAACCCCACCATTGGGCTCCTTGCTCAGCAGAGAGCCTGCTTCTCCCTCTCCCTCTGCCTGCCGCTCTGCCTACTTGTGCTCTCTCTCTGTCAAATAACTATATAAAAAATCTTGAAAGTCTATATGGAAAGGGAAAAAACCCAGAAGAGCCAACACAATTTGAAAGGTAGTCTTTTCAACAAATGGTGCTGAAATAACTGGATATCCATATGCCAAAAAAAAATGAACTTCAATCCATACTTTACACCATATATAAACATTAACTCAGAATCTTCAAAACTCATCAGAGACTTGAATGGAAACCAAAAACTATGAAACTTAAATGGGAGAAAATCTTTGTAACCTTAAGTAAAGCAAAGATTTCAAGATATGACAGCAACACCATGAAATATAAAGTAAAAAATTAAATACATTATGGAATTCACCAAAATTAAAAAGATCTATTCTTCAAAAGACTCTGTTAAAAGACTGAAAAGACAAGCCAAAGACTGGGAGAAAATATTTGCAAAGCATAGATCGGCAAAAGGACTTCTATCCAGAATATGTAAAGAATTCTCAAAACTCAATAAGAAAACAAACAAACCAATTTAAAAATTAGAGAAACAACTCGAACAGATACTTCACCAAAGAAGACACACGGATGACAAAAAGCACTTGTAAAGATCACTAGACACTAGAGAAATACAAATTAAAACCACAATAAGATACTATAACACATCAAGTAGAATGACTAAAACTTAAAAGACTAACATTAACAAGTACTAGAGAGGATATAGAGAAATTGGAATTCATACACAGTGCTAGTGGGAATATGAAATGATGCCCTGTGGGAAAATGTTTGGTAGTTTTTCAAAAAGGTAAGTATATCCCTACCACTTGATTTAACCACTTCATTTCAAAATATCTACCCAAGAGAAATGAAAGCATATGTCCATACAAGGATTTGCACATGAATGATCACAGCAGCTTTACTTGAAATAGCCCCAAATTGTAAATAATCTAAGTGTTCGTGGATAAATGGACAGTGGTATAGCTATACAATGCAATACTACTGAGCAATAAAAAGGAACAAACTAATTGATACATGCAACAATATGCATGAATCTCAAACTACTTATGCCTAGTGAAAGAAGCCATACCCTCAATCCCCCCTCAGAAAGAGTACCTGATTAGTTTTCACCAAAATTGTAGGACAATTAAACAAATCTACAGTGATAGAAAGCAGATCAACTTCCAGAACTGTGACACAACACACTTATGTTATTAAAAAAAAAAAAAAAAAGGCAGATCAGTGATTGTCAGGGGTGGAGGGCAAGGGTTGGGTGGAGAGAATCATAAAGAAGCAAGAGGAAATCTTTGAGTTTGGTACAGTGTTTACTATTGTGATTATGGTGATGGTTTCATGATTGTACTCATGTATCAAAACATATCAAATTGTATCTTTAAAATAAGTGCAATTTACTGTATGACACTTATACCTCAATGAAGTTACTCTACAACAAATCCATAATTGACATGATAATGACCTCCCTTAAATTGTACACATAATAAAATCAACATAATTTACAAACTAAAAAGAGATTAAAACATGTGCTACCCAACTACAATCTTTGTGTCATTTTAAAATTTCTAGAAGGAAAAAGCAGGATGTTTTAAGCTGGTTACCTCAGCTTATTAAGAAACTGAAGAGTACAGAAGTTTAATGAGGAAGAACTTGAACTGGGATCAAAATGGCTGTAGAAACTACATTACAGTTTACTGGAGGCAAAAAAGAAAGTTCTATATTGGCATTTAGGGAAATGAACTAGTAGGTAAAATATCAGAAGTTCCCCAGTCTAGGAAAATGTCATTTAAATTTCAAGGAAATATGTTCTTTGAATTTTAATTCTAACCTTTCAAAAAAAAAAAAAAAACAAAACTTAAAAAGGTTAAAATACTCCATCAAATGCTGTAATAAAAGAAGATATAAAATTAGAGACATGAAAGGCCACCCTTTGTTATAAAAAAAATTGGTGTGTTGATAGTGCCTCATTCAGATACAACAGAAAACTAATATAGGATTTTTACAGTCTTTTTCATTAAATACTATTATTCTGCCCACCTAAGTTCATTATATACTGTAATAATTAACAAATCTATTACCTGGGTTTATATAAAACCTTGGCTTATTGAAGATCTTTAACACTGCCTCAACTAATATGTTCAATTTCATTCCAGTTCTATCTTAGTGCATAAATCAAAAATAAAGATAATAGTTTAATAATTTTTTTCAAAGCCTTTCATCCAGAATTGGTCAATGGCATACGATTTGATTCAACTTTTTTTCCAAGAAATAAGGAAAAAGACAATAAAAATAAGACCGACAAGGATGTCTTGTCTCTCTCTGTCCCACTCAAAGGTAGAAGAGAAGAGTCTCTATAACTCACGTTGAACAAAGTGGTCACTATATCACCAACAAATTAAACTTTCTAATTCTGGTTTACAAAAGCTGAGTTATAGTCATCTTGACTATGTCTGAGGAAGTTGGAAATACATTTTAATAATTATCTGCTTAGAATGTATGAAAGGAACCTAAAGTTTTCCAAGAATTCTTCAGGATCCTAAAAAAGTGCTACAAGGTCTCCAAGAGTTTGACTAATTCATGAGATGAGCAGTTTTCAATGAAATTAGGCATTAGGGCACCTGGGTGGCTCAGTTAGGCACCTGACTCTTCATTTTGGCTCAGGTCATGATCTCAGGGTTGTGAGATCGAGCCCTGCATCAGGCTGCACACTCAATGCAGTTTGAGAGTCATCCCCCTTCCCTCTCCCTCTGCTCTTCCATACCCCTCCACCCCATCCTCTCTAAAATAAATAAAATCTTAAAAAGAAAAAGAAATTAGGCATTGAGAAGTTAAATTAATAGCAAATATCGACATCTATCAGTTCATCCAATTTATCAACTTCTGAGAGTTCAATGTCCTCTATGTTCCTCCTTGCTCAATTCTTACTCATTAATTGTAAGTCACTATCAGCTCTTCCCTGAATTATGCCAGTAACCTTTAACCACCCTTACGGGGCCCCACCCAACCTCCATAGAGGAACTGGCCAGAACTGCCTGAATACAGAGGTAAAGTTCAAACTTCTAAAAGGGACTTTATAAGGCCCCGTTCTAATCTGATCTGTTCATGTTTCCTGGCTTCATCCTTTACCACTACTACACATTTTCCCATCCAACATATAAATACCAAGAATGTGTATTCTCCCATAGACACACACTAGACTTCAGCCACACTCAGCTGTCTGCAGGCCTCCCAAAAGCAACAGCTGCCCTAAAAGCCTCTGCACTTGCTGCTTCCTCTGACTGGATTGTTCTCTCCACTCCCATTTTTTGCTGACTTTCACCCATGCTGAAGTCTCATTTTAAATGCTGTGTTCCCTGTGATATCTTCTTTGTCCAATTCCCTCCCTGCTAACCCTGTCTGATGAGCTATAACACCCTGCATTCAGCCTTCACCTTGCAATTCTCACTCTGAATCATAACTGTCTATTTACCTAACTTTCTGTTATAAGATAAGCTTTCCAAGTGTAGGGGTTGGGGTCTTATTCACTACTATGTCCTCAGTATCTAGCTCAGTACCTGACCCACAACGGAAACTCAGCAAATCTGTTCAGAGAATGTGCTGTAAAAGATACTCCATTCATAAAGAGGACACAAAGCAGGGCGCCTGGGTGGCTCAGTCCGGTAAGCACCTGACTCTATTTTGGTTCAGGTCATGATCTCTGGGTCATGAGATCAAGCCCTGAGTCTAGCTCTGTGCTCAGCAGGGACTCTGCTTGAGATTCTCTCTCTCTCCCTCTCTCTCCCTGTCCCTCCTTCCACTTGCTTTCTAAGTAAATAAATATTTAAAAAAATAAAGAGGATACGTAGCAATTTTGAAAATCTTAATTAAAGAAATAACATACCTGTCTTTCCAACTCTTGTCCTGTGATACCAGCCTCCACATGAGCTGTCAGATTGTTCTCATCAACCCAGAGGATTCGATTCTGTTGCAAAGGAAGAAAAAAAGTCTCATCTCCAACATCTAATCCAAACGTCTCATCCAAATGTCTATTGACTTTTTCTGAGGAAATATAACTTCCTAACTCAAGGAAGCAAGTGACAAGACAGAAAACTAGCAAACAGGGTTACCCATGCTACTACACTACCCATATATACCTGACTATACAACATGACAGATACAGTAACAAAGGCAGTATATTACACAGGAGTTGGTTTAAAACACAGACTCTGTCTTTATTCAGGGATTAGTTTGAATTAAACTCTACCGCTTACCTTAGCCAAATTATGTAACTAAGTTTAGTGTTTCCTCACTTGTAAAGTGTGAATAGTAACACTACTCATAAGGTTGGTGTAAGGATTAAATGAGATACTGCACATAAAAATTTAGCATACGGGGGTGCCTGGCTGGCTCATTTGGTGGAGCATGCAGCTCTTGATCTCGGGTTGTGGGCTGGAGCCCCACGTTGGGTGAAGAGATTATTTAAAAATAAAATCTTAAAAAAAAATAAAAAACCACTTAGCATACAAAGTTCCTGGCATTCTGCAAATACTCTCTGCACTACTATTAATAGTTAATAATCATATGTAACTTAAGAATATCAGAAGATGGCCACTGTGAGAGGAGAAAAATTCACCTAAAAAGACATATGAATATACTAAATGGCACTCCTGCTTTGTTTTTAATCCCAAATAGGACCAGGACAGAAACCAAAGCATACACCTGCCTCCTCTTTAAAAGAAGGAACTGAGTATGAACTGGCTCAACTTACCAAATGTAAGACTGCCCAAAAAATGTTTTTAACATTCTTGGTTAACCTATTTTTTTGTATATATGAATCTTCGTGAATTATTCGCTAAATAAATTTTAAATTTATATTAATTTTTATTTAATATTATTTTCAGCATTTATATTTAATATTATTTATTTATATTATAACTATAAATTATTATACTTTAATATAAAATTTATATTATAACATTGTAATATGAAGTCTATACTATAATATAATACTTGATATTATTTACATTAACTAATATTATTTATATTAAAATTTATATTACTTAATATTTGTTTATATTAATTTTAATTTCAAAAATTTAAATTTATTTCTAAATAAATTTTAAATTTTCAAAACAGACTTCTTCCCCCTTCTATCTGGCTGAGCAATCAGATTAACATATACACTCTTCTTCTGGATCCCAGGGAAGCTTTCTTTGCACTTTGATATCTTCGATTTCATGGCAATAACTAACACGGGTAAGTTTAGCTAATAATAAAAAGAAAAGAATACAACAGACAATATGAAAACTGTCTACCTATATTTCAAATTTGCATACAAATAACTGTACTACTTAATTCACAGGATTATGATAAACATCAAATAAGGTGTATATGTGAATGTATTTTTTGTTTTGTGTTATATAAAACTCTCATTTTAATTATACTCTCACAATAAAACAATAGTAATTTTAATATAACCAAATCAGTCTTTTGGTTCTATAGCCACTAAACAAAAGGAAATATTAAACTGAAGTAAAAAGACAGAATTCAATAATCCCTTGGTACCTTATAATAACTTACACACATCTTCTCCTCTAGTAGACTGGCTCTTCAAGAGATTACGTACTTGTGCTAATTATATACCTTCAATTTACCAGGAGCCCAAACATATTTTTGGTAGGAAAAAAAAAACTGAAGGAAGCACAGAAAAAAAAAAAAAAAAACAACAACAACAAAAAAAACACCACAACCCTTTATAGGTACTCACAGAAAAGCTCAAAGAAAATACACAGAATACCCTATTATATCCAATATACACTACCCAATACAAGTTAACAATAAAACTTTGAGACCAACAGGCCCTAGTATTATTGTATGTATTTAAGAAATACAATAATAAAAAACTGGCATAACTATCATATTTTACACATACTGTATCATAAGTACTCTGTGCAAAATCATGCAGAGACATAGCTTATCAACTCTAAAGCAAATCACAATTTTAAGTACCACCCATCCACTACAATATTTAAGAAAGTTCAATGTTAAAAGCAGTGAATATGTAAGGTTTTTCTATAAAATAAATGGTTAAAAACCTGGCATTTAAAATCCTGGCTCAGAATTTTAAGCATCTACTCAGTGTAAAAGACTTTTATTTTACATTATCTCACTTAATCTTCACAATTACCTTCTGGATTATTACTGTTTCTATTTTACAAATTCATTAACAGATTGAGTGGTAAATTTGTACACAGTAAAGTATACGTATACAGAAATCCAAATACAGCCAAAGCCTATTACAGAATAGGCTACTCTTAAGTGATCTTCTAAGGAAACCGCCTTTTCTTAAACTCTGGGATAAGGACAAAGGTTAATGAGGAACTTTACAGAAGAATAATCAGGCTGTTACCATCTGAACATCCTGATTAATTTTAGCAACATGTAGAGTGGACAACCAGGTATTATGTGCCTCCTAATGTGATGTGATGTGAGCTAGAAAATCACATCACCATCTACAAGATATCCTTGCTTAAAAAAAAAAATTTAAAAGCTATGCCTGAATCTAACTAGACTTTGTATCTGACTTTGAGTTTAGAGGACATACAAAGCCTAGAGGAAGAGTTAAATGACACCAAGATGAAATGACAGGGAAATTCAAAATATGACATATTTTATACTGCAAATAACCTACATTTTCCAAAAGTCAGTAACATTCAAAAAAGGAGAAAGAAGGGGGTTTCAGATGAAATGAAACAGGGAAACAACCAAAAGCTAACATAGGTCTTGTCTGAATCTCCCTATGAACAAATGAAGTATAAAATAAAGACAATTTTGAAACAACTATAAAATCTGAATGTGAACTGGATATTAAATGATAAAGAATTCTTTTTAAATTTGCCAGAAGAAATAATAATATAGGGAGAAATGCCTTTTAAAAACAGATACATAAGTAATATTTAGGTAAGTAGCATAATATCAGGCTTTGTTTTTAAAATAGTCAAGAGGACAGTCTATGATGATGGAGGAGTAGAAGACCTTAGTTTCATCCAGTCCCTGGAATTCAGCTAGCTAGCTATCAAATCATTCTGAACACCTGTGAACTCAACCAGATATCAAAGAAAAGAATAGCTGCAACTCCACAAATAGAAAAGTGACCACTTCCTATAAGGTAGGAGGTGCAGAGAAGTGAATCCAAGACAATATATGGGAAGATAAACCACAGCAGGAGGGAGAGAGAGCCTATGTAAGCTGGAACCAGGGGGTGATATAGCAACGGAGCACAAAATCAGAACTTTTAGAAGTCTGCTCCAGTAAGGGACATCCCTGCCTGAAAGGTGCTCAGGTGGCGAAGGAGGGTGGAATCCTAGGCAGGACGGGGTGGTCCCAGGATCCCTGGGGTCACAGGAAGACCAGGGGTGCCTGAGTGTGGCAGAGATCCCAGGCATCAGAGTGGGAAAGTCAGCTGCAATAAGCAAGCCCAGGAGTGAGCTCTCAGCTCGGGGATGCCATATACTGCCACCCATGGCACAGTTGGGCGACTGCTCTTTGAGCAGGGGGCCCAGCAAACAGCAGAACCAGGGAGACCTCCTTCTCTCTACCAGGAGGACCGGCACAGATGCACACTACAGGAGTCTACAGGGTTTAGAGACTTGAAATGGGGCTGCGTGCCTGATACAGAAACACTCGGTTATAGGACGGAGACCAGGGAGACAGGAATAACTGACTGCTTTTCCCTGAGGGTGCACTGTGGAGTGGGGCCCCAAGCTTTCAGCTCCAGGGCAACGGACTGGAAGGCTGCCATTCTCATTCTCATCCTCTAAAGTGGCAGGAAAAGCCTTTAGGGAACAAAAAGCCACACAGAGCAATCTGGAGCTGCTTACTTAGCCTGGCCCCCTGGCAAGGGTGGTGAAATTCCACTGGGGCAAATACACCTGAGAATCAATGCAACAGGCCCCTCTCCCAGAAGATCTGCAAGAACATCCAGCCAACACCAAGTTTATCAATCACACAGAAATGTAAAACTCCAGCACTAGGGGAAAATAGTATACAGACTTCATGTTTTTTTTTCCCATGATTCTTTGGTCTTTCAATTTTTTTTCTTTTTCCTTTTCCAACCAATTTCTTGTTTTATCAACTCTTTAAAATCTTTTTTAAATTTTCATTTGTACAGTTAAACTCTATCTTTCATTGTATTTTATTTATATATATATATGTTTTTCTTTCTTTATGATTTTGAGATATAGTTTCTTTAAACAAACCAACCAAAATACACTCGGGATATAGTGTATACTGCTCTGTTCTTTTCACCTGTCTGTTTATATTCATTTTTTCTTTTTGTCTTTTAATTTTCATCTTCACATTTACATTCTATCCTTTCCTTGCATTTAATTTTATTTTCATACATATACAAATATTTATTTCTTTCAATTTTGGGATCTACTTTTCTAACAAACAGACCAAAATACACACATGATCCGGGGTATTGCTCTGTCTGTTCACCTGTCTGATTACATTATTTTTTTCTTTTTTTTCAGTTTCAGGTATCTTCTGATTTGTTTAGTGTATATTTCTCTGGGATCGTTGTTGCCATTTTAGTATTTTGTTCTCTCATTCATCTATTCTTCTCTGGGCAGAACGACAAGATGGAAAAACTCACCTCTACAAAGAGAACAAGAGGCAGTACTGACTGCCAGGGTCCTAATCAGTACGGTTATAACTAAGATGTCAGAACTAGAGCTCAAATTAACAATTATGAAGATACTAGTGGGGCTTGAAAAAAATCACAGAAGTCACTAGAGAATGCATTCCTGGAGAAAAAAAAAAGAACCAGAATCTAATCAAGTCAAAATCAAAAGGGCTATTAATGAGATATAATCAAAATGGGGGCTCTAACTGCAGGTTAAATGAAGCAAAGGAAAAAAATCAGTGATACAGAAGACAAAATGATGGAGAACAAAACTGAGAAAAAGAGAGATAAACAAC